CCGGCAGCGCCGCCAATCACAACAGCGCCACGGGTTAAAGGGGCGGGCGCAGATCTTAAAGGAGCCGGCGCCGTCCTTAAAAAGCACCGGAACCGGTCTTAAAGGGGCCGGCGCCGTTCTTAAAGGGGCCGGYGCCGTTYTTAAAGGRAAGGACGCCGCTCCTAAAGGAGCTGGCACCTGTCTTAAAGGGAAGAGCTGGCAGGGAAGAGCGTTTCTCCCTGTCAGGAAAGGGAGGGCAGATATCTAAAGGGCGGCACCATGGGCTGGGGGAGGGGTTCCAAAATGTGGGGTCCCCTCAGTGCCTTGTGCCCACTGCCCTGCGTGGGCACGGGGGCCACGGGGCAGCGCACGGGGTCTCTGCCCACCCTGCGGCCCCGTCACGGGGACCGGGGCTCTTCGCCCCGCGGCCGCCATCCCTCCCCTYGGAGCGCAAGCCCGGGGCGCGAGCAAGGAGGGGCGGCAGGCAGGGCCGGTACATTCGAGTTAGACTTTATGGTGCTTCCAAAGAAACAGAGCTCTCCTCACGGGTATATCTCGTCAGGCTGGGCCGCRGGGCGCCGGCGGGGCTTGCACACCGAGACATGAGAAAATACGGACCTAGTTCCGCCCGGCACGCGGGGAGACGTGGTGCACGGCTCGTCCGCGTCACACATCATTTAAAAACAGAACAATAAGTAAATAAATAATAAAAAAGAACAAAAGGAAATAAATAGACATGCACATATGAAGGAGCTCTGTCCTAGTTCAGGGAAGGCTTCCCAGGCGCCTCACTGTGGTGATGCAGTTTCAGTCTCTTTAATTTACTCCTTGTTGTGTTCAGCTGGAAGAAGGAATGGAGAAACCGGGGGACGGTTCAGAGGCTCCGTGGCCACTTGGGCGTCAGGGGAGCAGAGCAGCCACTCGAGGGCGGCCACGGAGTGGGCTTAGAGCCCGCACAGGCCCCCGGCAGATGAAGGGGTAGGGGCTGGAGGGGCCTCTGGCACCGCTGCCGGCCATGGCCGGAGAAGTCACCGTTTTGGGGAGCAATCAGGTGCGGCGGGGACAAGAGCCGCCCCTCGGCCGCAGGCGTGAGGCTGGAAACCGAGCGGTCACCGAGAGCCTGAGCAGCGCGGGGCGCACGGGGGCCGTGCCCACCGGCCGGGCTGCCGGGCGGGACGTGCCGGCTCCCGCGCCGCCGTGCTGGGTGCCCGGGCTCCAGCGCCTCCAGCCCGGCACGGGGACCCCGCTGCAGCGAGGGGCGCAGCCTCGGGGTGCTGTTCACTACCTGCCTCCCGCCATGCCCCCRCACCGCGACCCGCGGCCGCTCCGTCTCCTCTACCCGAGACCCGGCTCGCAGGCTGCCCGCACGGGCTGCTGGCGCCTGCCCGCGGCAGGACCGGCCGTGCTGCCGCCAAGGGCACGAGCAGCCCCGTGCGCGGGGCCCAGCCTGGATCCACTTGGGCACAGCCTTGGCGCACCGAGGCTCCCCGGGAGGGCCCTGCAGAGCCGCCCTAGCCCCCTGTCTATCCAAGGCACACGAAGCACCCTGGAGAAATCATGCCCAGAAAAAGTGCCAGAGTGCCAGGTAGGGGCAGAAGAGGGTGAAACATCCTCGGAGGCAGGGATTGAGCMTCAGTTTTGTGGCAAGGAGGGAAACCTGCCCTGCAGCCCTGCACCAACCCTCCCCAGGGTGCTGCCTGCTCTCCCAGGGCAGCATCACGAAGGATGTYGCTTATTGCTAGCACTAAGCAAGCGGGGAGGTCTCCGCTGCTGGCCCTGCAGAAATAGGTGTTCCCAAGCGCCCAGATGGGGAAACTGAGGCACTGACCTCTCACAGACTTTACCAAAGGGATGAGACCTGCCCTCTCTCACATCTCCCACCATGCCTGTGAGTGTTGGCATCATCCCTTTCCAGAGGCAAAGGGAGGCAGGGACAGGGCACCCTTGGCTCCTTCCCCTTGGGCACTGCCCTCACCTGTGGCTTTGCAGAGCCCCTGCTCCCCCATGGCCAAGCCAGGACAGAGAGGGCTCCAGGCTGCTAGCCCAGGCCTAGGACAACCCTGCAGGGAGGTGAAGGGGGCACTTAGTCCTGTTTGGCTGCCGAATTGGGGTCAGCGATGAAGACAGGGGTGATTGGGCAGCCTGCTGCCCAGGGCTGTGCTGAGAACGGGTGAGATGAAGCCCTGATGGCCTCCTTGTCCCCTGACACATCCCTACCCTCCACCCTGATCCAGCAGCTAGGATTTGGGACTGAGAAATGGGCAGGGTATCCAAAAGTGGGGCTGGACAGCAAGAAGTGGAGGGTGAAAGTTGTTCCCCCTTGTTCCTGGCCCATATCTCACAGCAGCTGCCCCTGCTGCCCTCTGGTTCCAGGGCAATTGCCCCATGCATGGGAGGGAGGAAGGGGCAGCCCTGCCCCAGCTCATGCCATGTCCTTCCTTGAAGGCTGTTGGAGTCCCTGGCTGTGCTGGAGTTTGTGATGCCGGGGATCTTCTCCCTGCTCCAGCTGCTTCTGCTGACAGCTTGGGAACATGGTATCCTGGCTTGGCCCGTGCCCAGCTCCAGGCTCGGGGGCAGATGTCAGAGCCTCCTCCAAGCCAAGGGGACTGCCGCAGCGGGCAGCATCTCGCCGGGGTGCTGGGGCTGCCCGGCAAAATGGGTCAGTTGTGGAAACCTTGGAGCAGCTGGAAAAGGGGCCTGTGCCCATCTGCGGTGTGGAGAGTGACCCTGGYTGAACAGCGAGGACGCTCTGCAGAGAGCGGGCACGGAGAGGGATCCCCCCCTCACCTCCCCACCCTGGACCCTCCGGTGTGCCCGGGCATGGGAGCGCATGTGGGAGGGCCAGCATTGCTGGGCAGAGCCAGCAGGGTAAGAGCCAGGTCCCCTTCCATCACGGGGCATCCAAACCTTGCAGGGACTGTGGAGATCCCTCAGAGCGGGTGTGAGTGCCAGGCAGCCCTCGCAGAGGCAGAGGCTGGCAGACACCCAGGCCRCTCTGCAGAGGGGCGGATGGGGAYGCGGCAGGGGCACGAGCACCCTTCCCGGGCCGTGCTCCCCCGCTGTGCTGCCCGCAGTGCCCCGCGCAGGCCCCGTGCCCCGTGTGCTGAAGCACAGAGGGGTCCACAACAGCATCATGTCTGCAAGCTGCCCTCCTCTGGCACCCCGGGCTCAGGCCTGGCTCAGCACCCTGTGCTGGACACACAGGGGCCACAGCACCGGTGTCGTACCCTGCACCCGGGTTAACACGCGGGTTTGCATCCACAGAGACCCCGCTGAGCATATACGGACCATATAAAGTACCTTGTACCCAAAGACCCTAGAGAGCCTGTCACTTGAAGGATATCTTACAGCATCCCTGCTGTGTCAACAAATTTTATGGTAACTTGCTCAGGATGCTGAAATGYTCCAGGAAAAGGGCCTCTATGCTCCCTGGAAACTGTATAGGGCCCCTGCCAGGTATCCAGAGCCCATGCAGGGCTACCAGCAACACCACAGGCTTTGTACATCCTCAGCAGCTCTGAGGTGCTCTACAGGTGCCCTCCTGACCCTGGTGCTGCTGAAGATGCCCCTGGGWCCTGCTCCGGCTCCCTGGAGCAGGCAGTAGCGTGTGGGTAGCCACAGAGGGCCCAAGTGCTTGCTCTGGCCACACTTGCGTAGAGGTAGCCGTGTTGTCTAGTGGTCAGGGGGAGGGCTGAGGCTGGGGCAGCACCCTGGCCGAGTGCTGGTTCACCAGCCCACCACCCAGAGTGGGCTCTGGGAAGACTTGCCCAGATGTTTTCTGGGGGCCRCCAATGACCTGTGCTCCATGAAAGACCTCACCTAAGGTCCCACTACCCSACACGTCTCCGCCAGCCCAGATAGGGCCCCAGGATCGCAGCAGCTCAGGATCCAGCAAACGCTGGTGACTCACAACGCTCCATGGACTCCTCCATGGCAGCATCCGTCCCTCACGCTCCCCCAGCACCGGCACCAAAATGCGTGACAGGGAGCAAGAGGGCTATCCAGCCCCACTGCATCAGTGTGCCCATGAGAAACACATATCTACAAAGGGGAATAAGTAAGGGGCCACTGGAGGTGGCCCCAGGGCTCCATTCACATGATGTCGTCCAGGAGATTGGGGCTGGCCACCCAGTCAAGGGTGCGGGGCTCCGAGGCAGCCATGATCATGCACATGAACTGCTTGCCTGTCCTCTTGTCAATGGGATAGATGGTGGTGGGGGTGAAGCGCTTGTTGCTCTCCACGAAGTCGCAGAGCTGCTCGTAGATCTTGGGGAACTCGTGGCGCAGGAAGACACCGCGGATGCGCAGCTCCCGCTGGATGTTGATGAAGCAGACCTCCCGTGCCTTGCGCCCTTCCTCCCCCTCCTTGTCAATGTCTGCCGTGCCAGGTGGTGGGGTCAGGATCAAGGTCTCCATGTCCCGCTCTTTCTTCAAGATCTTCTTCTCAGGGCTGGACGAGGCTAAGGCCACCTTGGCATATTTCCTGACCGTTGGCACCTGGATCTTCGGAGATGGCCTCTCTGGCACTTTTTGGGCAACGGCCACAGTTACATTCAAGAGGAAACATTCATCGGGGTCATACTGGTTGCCAGTCTCCCGCAGCTCCCGGGCGTATTCCCCTAGGTTATCAGAGTAGCTCTCCAGCTCCCGCAGAGATAGGTATGTGGGGGACATCAGCAAGCTCTCCAAGCCAAACTGGAGGAAGTTCTCTGCTGAGCCCGAGTTCGGGAAGCCCAAGAAGAGCACGCCACGTCCCCGGGAGAGGTAGCCCACCTTGGCGATGCGCGAGAAGGCCTTGTGCACCTCGACGTTCTCCCGGCAGAACTGCAGCACATGGCGGCAGATGCTGCCAACACGCCCATAGACACAGCTCTCTTTGTGTGTGTCCCAGTCCTCGCGGCGGCAGTTTCGGGAGCAGTAGTAAGTGTAGCAGCTGTGGCAAGACTTGAAGTAGAGGCAGGCATTGAACATGGTCTCYGTCCGCCGGCACTTGGCATTCGAGCACATCATCATGTCGTCCTCTTCAGCGCTCAGGTCTGGAGAACAGTTGTCCAGGTGCTTCTCAAAGCTGCTGCTGGAGATAGATGCGGGCAGCCCGTGGCTGCCCTGCTCGCGGCGAGGGTCATTGCAGAAAGAGCTGGGGCCTGGCTGCTCTTTCATGGGCCGGTTTCCCTCAGGCGTGCAGGCAGGGGCCTTCCTGGCCTCCATTTTCCTGGCRTGGCCCGGGGCGCTGCTGTTGATGAGCTTTTTGAGCTGGTCAGCGAGGCTGTCTCTGTCACCGGCGCGGTTGCTGGGTGCTGGCTTGTAGTCGATGACCAGGTCGGTGATGAGCTCGTCCAGCTGCTCCAGGCTGCGCTGACGGGCCGAATTGCTTTGGGCACTTTCTTTGGTGACAGGGTCTGGTTGGTAGGGCACAGCATAAGGGCAGTTGCCCTCCCGCCCCGAGTCCAGCACRTCCCAGCTGGCCGAGCGTCTCTCGCTCTTGCCGAGGCCGTTGGCGCGGATGTCGTTGTCGGTGATGGTGATCTCTGGCGTGACGTACCAGGAGCGGCCCATGGGGTAGCGGCCGCCGTCTGCGTGCACCCTCTCGATGAGGGAGTTTTCCGAGAGGGACAGGGCAGCATAGCGTTTGGGCGAGCTGGACAGGTTGATCACCACCGGCTGCCGCCGGTCGTCGGGGGATAAGGCACGTTGCTGCTCCTGGGCCAGCAGGTTCTCATAGCTGCGCCCGCRGAGCAGGGGGTCCTCCCGGCGGACCAGGGGCGTCAGGATGTTGTCCCAGGATTTGGAGTAGTGCTGGCTCTCCCTGCCCAGCCGCGGGGGGTTTGTGCTGTAGCTGGCGTGCCAGGAGGAGAGCATGGCCTCGCGCCCGGGTGGCTGTGGCGCGAACCGCGACACCTGCAAGGTTTGATAGGGCAGCGTGCTCCGCTCCGGGCAGTACCAGTCACTGAAGTGCAAGGGCTGGGTGCTGCGGGGAAGGGGACATGTCCGTGAAATGGCCTCCCGCTCCCGATACTTGCCGTAATCCTCAGCGTAGAAGACCCTAGCAGAAGAACCAAGGGCAGGGTATGTCCTGGCATCCTCAGAGTAGAGCGTCTTCATGGGAGTGCCGCGGGGCGCATAGAAGCGAGGGTCATCGCCGTAGAAAGCGTGGGCGGGGGGCTCCTGGATGGGGTAGCTCCGTGCCTCCTCCACGTACAGGGTGCGGGGCGGGACGGTGTGGACGTTCACTTTGGCTGGCTCCTCGGGGTAGAAGTGCTGCGGGGGGCCGTGGCGCCGGGGGTAGGGGTAGCTCATGTAGCCAGAGCTCTTGAGGGGCATGGCCGGGCTGGGGCACCGCACGGGCTCCTCGGCGTAGAAGAACTTGGTGGGGACGCTGGGGGCCGCGAAGGTCATGCAGCCCCGCTCGGGGTACTCCCTGTAGTCGCGCGAGGAGGGCACCGGCACCGTCTGGTAGGCCAGGCCCCGCGGGTCGGCCTCATAGTACTCGCCAGGGTAGGGCAGCAGCGGGTGCTCGCCGCTGTACGAGTCGCTGGGGGTGGGCGTGCGCGACATGGAGACCTGCCTGCTGCCCGGCACCGCCAGGCCGCGCGGCGCGCCGGGCACCCGCGGCCAGCCCGGCGGCTCCTGCCGGCTCTGCGCCGCCTTGAGGCTGCGCGCCGCGTGCACCAGCACCGCCTCGTCGGGCTTGATGTCCACCCGGCACTTGACATGGGGGCTGGCGGCCACCTTGGCGATGCCCGGCGCCTCCTCGAAGCAGTTGCTGCTGACGCAGAGCGGCGAGATGCGGCTGGCGCTGCTCCGCTGCGGCTGCAGCTTGATGGGGTGCACCTCGTTGGCCAGCGGGCGCCGGGGCGTGTAGGCGCCGTCGCGGCGCGGCGAGGGCTCCCTGCGGGCCGCCTCCCTCGACGCCCGCAGCGCCTCGCGCCCGCGCCGCGCCACCGGCGGCGACGCCGCCACTGCGATGGGCACTGGCGTGAGGGTGGTCTTCACCCGGGGCGCGCTCTTGGAGCGGGCTCGCCGCTTCGCCTCGCCCCGAGCCGATGGCTCCTTGGGCCCTTCCCTCGCCGCCGCCACGTTCCGGCCGGCGTAAGCGTCCGGCTTGGGCGGCGCGCGGCGCGTCGGCTCCGGGGTGCCCGGGCGCAGGCCGGGGCGCTCCATGGGCGCAGGGGCGCCCAGCTGGTCGTCGAGCGACTCAAGAAAGTCGAAGCTCCTGCAGTGGCGCTTGTTGAAGGGCTGCGAGTCGCGGGGCAGGGACGCAGACATGAAGGCGTCACATCGTGCCAAGGGCTGGCAGACGATCGAATCCCTGGGGGCTGCGGCCGCCACCTTTATGTCTTGGTACACCGTAGACACCAGTATGTCAGGCGGGTCGGTTCGTGTCATCTTAAAAGTGGCTCTGCTCTAGCCAGCTCCCCTTCAGAGTGCCTCAGAGGAAGGCAGCTGGCCCTGCAAGAGAACAGAGAAGGGGCCTAAATCCCAGCCGGGCCCGGCAGGGACCGCAGGGGAGCTGTGAAGACACAGGATACAACCCGATGCTGCTTGGCCCAGGGAGKTTTTCTGACCACTCTTCTGAGCTGGGGGCATTAGGGAAGTCTCGGCTTCCACAGGTGCTTTCAGGAGCCTGAGCCTAGTGGAGAAAAGCTGAAAGCTGCATTTCTGGCAGGCTCCAAAGCCAGAGTGCAAATAATGACTGTACAAGAGGTTGACTGCAGGCCTGATGAGCCTCTATGGAGGTGAAGGGGCAGTGGGGAGTGTGCTCATCTCTATCCTCGGGAGAGGAACCCGTGACCACGGTGGGCGCTTGGTCCCCAGAGTCAGGACATGGGACTTGGGCAGAGCCAGAACCACTTCGGAGGGCCCCCAGAACAGGCTCCGTCCTGGTTTGYGGAGGCTGCAGGTATCCCCAGCGGCATCATGGACAGCTTTGAACAGGGTGAATGGAACCAGCAAAGGGATCTCTTTCCTTAAAGTAAAGGGAACTTGTGCCTGGCAGCCCGTTGTGACCATYGGAGCAGCTGTGGGGCCTCCTGGAAGCGCAGGTGTCCTCATCTCAGCACACTCGGTGCAACAGCTGCATGCAACAGAGCATCACGAGGCACGTGGGACACCTGGGAGCATTGCTCAGCATTCAGGTGACTGTGAACACCAACTGCCATGGCCATGAAGCCATGCAGCCCTGGGGACAACCTTTGCTGGAGGACCTGGAGCTGCGTCCCTTCCCTGGGGCAGATGCACTATCTGGGGACACCGCTCTGAAGTGACATCGGTCTTGCTTGTGTCCGCATTGCTCCCTAGGGTCCATCCAGACCATCATGGCTCAACCAGAGGGACACTGTGGCTGAAGCCCCAACCCCATGCAGGACCTCCATCACCCGCTCCACGCACGTTGCAGAGCAGAGCAAGCCCTCGGGACAGGGGGCCTCCACTCATGTGATGTGTCTATGATGAAGGTTGCCATCCATACGGTCCAGGGGGCCTCAAGCAGATATGGGGAGAAGACAAGCAGARGATCAAAGGATTGGTGGCTATCGGCCCCTTGAGACCATGATCTGCCCAGAGCATACRTACGACTAGCTTTTCTCTCACCAGGTGATACCCAGGTTGCTTTAAGTTACCTAAGATCCTGAGGATAATTTTCTTGGCTGCCTGACCAAGAGGGCCCACAGCACAGGTTGAGAGCTGGCTATTTGATAAATAAAGGTACAAGGCAAAAGCCATCAAAATGCATTTCACTTTAAACAGAAGCAGAGGACCACAGGGAACATGTTGAGGGAGAAAAGGAACAGACTTTATTCAGCAAGAAGCAGTATCGACTACATGGAGGAGGCGGGTTTATTTTTCACTTGTAGAGACTGTTCCCAGCTCTTTACTTTGGTAAAGACCTGTCTTGTACTGAAGCTGAGAGGGGGCTGGAGCTGGTGCGGCTGGAGGAAGCCATGCCAGGGATCTGGACATGGGGAARGGCTTGGGGCATCCCGTACCAGGAAGAGCTTGCTGCCAGTCTGGAAAAGGCCAGGAGCTGCGTTTTGGGGTGCAGCACCTTTGGGTGCACATGTGCCCCCAGCTACCTGCAGCATGGAGACCACCCAAAGCAGCTGCTGAAGCCAGAGCCTCATGACTTGCATCGGAAACCTGCTCCCAGGGATGCTGGAGGTGGTTTGGAGCTCCCTTCTGGGAGTCTGCTAGGAGGAGATAGGGACCCAGCAGGAGCCAGGGCAGGAGGCAGCAGGTTYGGCCCCGTAGTGGCAGAGCTGCAAGGACTCCGCTGGGTCACAAGCATTTGGGCTTGCTGGGCGTCAGCTGGGAGGACTCGGGGCCAGGGAGGAAGCCCCTCATGCTGGGGTAGATGCTGTCTCCTTCCCAGAGCAGAGGTGCCGGGACCAGGGGGAAGCCCATCCCCGCGGGGCCTGGCACTCGGCAGGCAGGCAATCATGCTTTGGCCCAGGCTCCCAAGGTCCTACCTGGTCCGGTGGCAGCAGGGATGGGGTGGGTAGGCAGAGCTGGCAGAGGGCCCTGCAGTGGCTCCATTCCAGCGCTGCAAAACGACAGAAGCACATGAGGAATCCCGGAAACCCGGGCCCACATGGGCAGGTGACCTGGTACCAGTGTTGCGGTGCCAAGGCCACCTGGGGCACTGTAACTGCAGTACGAGATGCCTGAGCAAAGGCCGCTGCAGGGGGGGACACCGCTGTTACCCAAGCTGTGACCAGGAAGATTGACCTGGATTGGGGTCAGCTGCCTCATGCAACAGCATCCAGCCCCATCATTGCTTAGCCCAACTGCACCCAACTGTCCCTGCGGAAGGGACACGTGTGCTCGCCATGYCCACCCCCGTGCAAGGCACCCGGGAGGGCTGCACGAGCCGCCCGCCGGGGGCGAGGGCTCCGCGGCGCTGGCATCCCTGCGCTGCGTGGGGTTGCCATGGTTTCTCGGAACTCTTCCCTCCCGTGYGGAGCGGCGGGGGAGGCCGGTGCCGCTCGCGAGCGCCCGAGCGCTGCGGGGGCTCCCGCGTGGGAGGCGGGTGGGTGCTGCAGGGCAGGGAGGGCACGCGGCCCCTGGGGCAGGGTGCCCAGTGCCCCATGGGCCAGCGGGGCGCCTGCGCCTGCTCTCGCTCTGCCCGATGAGCAGGGCCCTGCTCTCCCCRCAAGCCCTGCCTGCCTGTGCCCTTGCTGGGCACTGATCTCTCAGCCCCCTCTATGTCAGATCCCATGGGGTGTGCATGATGCACAGATATCTCTGCCTGACATAACTCTCCAACACGTCGACCCCAACAGGACCTGCGCTGCCAGTGCACTGCCCCTGGGCACCCAACACTCAGCTGGCTCCATCCCCTCTGGCACCTGCCCTTTCCTACCCAGCAAATAGCCCTATCCCATGAAACAGCCCTCCCTGCCATCACCCACTGCCCCAGGGCCCCGCTGCAGAGCGCTGCTCCAGGGACACGGCGCAGGGAGCCCGCCTTGGCTGCGAGGCAGGCGAGCTCCACGTTGGCGTGAGCGCGGCGAGGGCACTGCTGCATGCATGACCCGGGCTGCCCTGCAAGGAGAGGGCCCAAGGGGACGGCTGAGCAACTGGGTCACTAGCCGCGTGCACGGTGCCTGCAGCAGGGCCCTACCTGGCTGCACTGTGCTGCCCACGGACCCTGGGAGCACAGAGCCTGTGGGCACTGCCAGGATGTGCCTGGGCACTGACAGTGTCCTGTTCTGCACCGCGCTGAGCGCACGGCTAGGCACTGCTCCGTGCTCGGGGCTGCACCTCTGTGCTGCCCCATGCACACTGCCTGTGCACTGCGYGCTGATGCTCAGCCCCACGCACTGCCCATGCACACACGACACTGACTGTGCTGCCAGGGCACAGCCTGCCACTCCGCACTGCTCGCTGCCTATGCACAGCCGCGTGTGCACAGTGAAGGTGCTGGCAGTGCGCACTGCACGTGCACTGCTGTGCACACCCTGTGCACGCACTGCCAGCACCTTGCTGCGTCTGCGCTGCCACCCCAAGGCTCGCCTGCACTGATCACACTGGCAGTGCATGCCATGCGCACGGTGCCCAGGGCGCTGCAGGAGCGCCCTGGAGCGCCCGGCAGCTTCCTGTGCATTAGAGCACTGGCTTGTGCGCTGTGGGTGCATCAAGAGCGCTCTGACAGCTCACGCTGCCTGTGCACGGGCTCTCCAGCTCGCAAAGCTCTGCGCGCCCAGCACTGCCCCAAGCACGTGCACGTGCCGCCTCTCACTGCCCCACGTTCGGGGAGCGACGGGGCCTCACGTGCCAGGGAGCACCCGCTCCGCGGCCTGAGCCCCCGGCACGCTCTGCGGGGTACTGGGTGCTGTGGGTGGCYCCGTGGGCACCCGGCCCCAGCGCTGCCCCGTGCACCCCTTGCTGCGCTGCCCCCCACGCTGCCCCAGCCGCCCTGCGCCCCCCGCCTTATCCSCCTGCGCTGCCCCCCGGGCCGGCCGCGCTGCCTCGGCGGGGCTCCCCCGGGCCCCGGGCCCGGCACCTGCCGCGCGGCGGCCCCGGCGGCTGCGGGCAGGATGCGGGGATGCCCCGGGGCTGCAGGCGGCGGTCCCGGCCACCCGCCCGCTGCGCAGGGGCCCGGGCCCGCTGGGCCGCACTGGGAGCTCAGCTCGGGCCGGGCCGGCGGCAGCGAACACGGGTGCCCGGGGGGATGGCCCGGTCCGGCCCGGCCCGGCAGGGACGCGGCCCGCGGGGCTGGGGGGAATGACTCGGCACGGGGATGAGAGCGGGGGGGGGCTGGCAGGAACGGCTCCTGGGGGAGCGGGGACACGGCAGGATGGTCCCGCCGGGGGCGGGGAGACACCGAGGGATGACTCGGCCCGGGGGGACACGGAGCCAGGCCCGGGGGTGGTGGCGCGGGGGGAAGGCCCGGGGTGCCCCGGCGGCGCGACAGGCCCCGGCCCCCCCCTTACCTGCTCCGCGCCCGTCGCCCCGGCGGCCCCCCCGCCGCATCCCCGCCGCCGCCGCTAGGCTCGGCCCGCCGCCCTGCCGCCCATGGCTCGGCTCGGATCTACCCGGCTCGGATCTACCCGGCTCGGATCTACCCGGCTCGGATCTACCCGGCTCGGCGCTCCGCCACGGCCGCCCGGCTCCGCCGCCGCTTGTTTTCCCATAAATACGGCAGGCGGAGTTAGCGGCCGGGGCCGGGCTGGACCGGGACCGGGAGCCTCCTCCCGGCACCGCCCCGCCCGCCCGCCGGCTCGAATCCCCTCGGTTCGGTTCGGCTCCCCCTGCTCCGCTCGCCCGCCGGCCCCGGCCCGCTCTCCCCATCGCCGTCGCCATCCCTCCGCCCCGCATCCCTCCCTGCATCCCCGCATGCCTCCCTGCATCCCCGCATCCCTCCCTGCCTGCCCATCCGTGCGCACCCACTCTGGCAGCACCCACTCGGTGAGAGACGCCCGGTGAGGCCGTTTGGGAGCCCCCTTGTTCCCCTGCCGCCTCCCCCWTCTCCCCCCAGCCTCCCAGCGGCTTCCTCACCGGCTCCACACACCTTCCCAGACCTGTATCCCGGTGGCAGTGGTGGCTGCCGTGGGCTCTGTCAGCACCTGCGGCGCCCGTGCCCGTTTCTAGAGAAACACGATGGGGGGGGTGGGTTAGCTCAGCTCACGGGTGACACGTCTCAGTTCCCTGTGGGCGCTGCCTGTTCCGTGGAGCCCCATCCGTGTCCTCGATGGTGTCTGGCTGTGCTTGTGTCCTGGCTCAGCACCAGGCCCAGGGCTGTCCCCAAGCTCTGCCAGGAAGATGGGGTCTGTGTGGCCTGAGCCTCCCTGGGGATGTGGGGACACCCAGGCCATGGTGCTCACTGTGGTAACACCCGGGCAGCTACGGGACAGACCCCAACTCCAAAGCAAAGCCAAGAGGTCCGAGAGATGGACAAATCCAGCGGCGCCGGATGCTTTCCAATCTGTGATCTCCCCAACGCCAGTATTCCTGCCTGTTTCCCCCATCTTCCCCTTCCAATTCTGCAGACTTTGGAAGCTCCCAGGAGGCATCCCTGGAGGTGGCCGTGGCCAGCAGTACAAGTGGCTCCCAGTGCTGGGCACTGGCCAGGGCAGGCAGGGAGGTGGCCAGGGTGACAACGCAGCCCCACACAGAGGCTGGAGCAGGGCAGGAAGCCGCCTGTCCTCTACATGCCTCTGCACCGAGGATGCCGTTCGGGATTTGCTGTTTCCAGTCCTCTGGGGCCGGGATCCTCTGCTCTCCATCCTGCTGTGACGCTGGGAGCAGCTGCYGGCCGCCTGTGCCCACGCGGCCACGCACGGGGCCTTTGCACCACGACGGCGGCACCTGCGTGCGCACATGTCTCTGTGGAGCCGGCCTGCGGCATCCCTGGCTCTTCCCGTGCACCTGCACTGGTGGGAGCATTTGGATATTCCCTGTCTGCTGCCACACACCCCTAACACTCCAGAGAGCCCGTGGAGGCAAGGCTGAGCCGCATTACGTGTGTTGAGCATGGCAGTACTCTGCGTTGCAGAGCGATGCTTGCCAGAGCAGGCTCCTCCCCGCGCCTGGGCAGAAGCCCCTGTCACGAAGAGGCTCCGGCAGTGCCAGGTGCCGGGGTGAGGGCTCAGCGYGGCGCTCGGCACCCGCTCTCGGCGCTTTCATTTTCCTCCCAGCTGGAAGCAGTCACCGGCTGCCGAGCTGGCCRTTCCCGCTGCCCTCGGCTTCCTCCTCCCGCAGCCCCTGCCGCTCGGCTCCATCTGCGGGGCCGCCTGCCACTGGCCCGCGTGCCAGCCGGAGAGCTGAGGCCCGACGGGCTCGTTGCGTTGTCTCCAGGGTGTGTGGGTGGCTCAGGCCCGGGGCTCAGCGTGCCAAACACATATGGCGGTGCCTTGGTGGGGCAGTGAGGGGGCAGCAAGCGGGCTGCCTCACTCCATGGGGCACCCAGCTGGGTGGCCTCAGCACCCAGCGCCCTGGGGGACCTGTCCTGGTGCTGCCTGCCTTGGCAGTGCAATTGCCGCTCACGGCAACGCAGGCCCAGGCTTGTCCCGGCCCTCAGCTCGCTGGGCCCCTGGCTGGCCGGCAGGGCACGTACGGACACAGGACCTGCTGCAGCAGCGCCTGGCAAAGGGGGCACTCAGGTTGGCCGTGCAAGAAAAGCGCCAGCCTGGAGCTTTCCTCCAGGTGGGGGCCACTTTTCCAGTCTCCTCCAGTGTGTCCGCATGCGCAGCCCGGCCAAGGCGCGGAGGTGCTGTCAGAGGCTGCCCAAGTCTCCTGTCACCTGCTCCCACCCAGCTCCGCGTTGGGTACCTCCCTCCCTGAGCCCGKCGAGCAGAGCCCGCAGGGGCTGTGGGGCGGCAGCACCTCCCTGCCCAGCCCCAGGACTGCTTCCCTGCAACTTTGCCCTGTGCGTGTGCTGCGCTTGTGGTATCCTCTTGCTCTGGGCCATTTATGGTGGGGATTCCTATCTGTTCCGGGTTACTTATTCCCAGCAAGGTATCCCCCTGTCCTTGGCAGACAGCCAAGCAGGGCAGGGCACTACAGCTCCCTGGGGACCCCACGGCAGCAGAGCAGCTCTGGGGCGGCCCTGAGTCTGGGCAGGCTGGAGGTCACTGTGCAGGGCAGGGGGTTCTGCCCTCCTGCCCACAGGACGTCTGCAGCCTTGGCCTGGTGAACTCCGACACCGGGCACTGCTCACGGCCGCGGTGACGGCTGTGGGCAGCACCTGCCTTGCTCTCCGGCATGGGGGCTGCTGCTGGCCGTGCGCAGAAGCTTGCAAGGGAGCCGCTTGGACACCGGCATCTCGCAGTGCGGAGCTGAGAGCCACCCACTGTCTTCTCGCTATTATGGAAAGCCTCACTAGAAGGTTTCCCCCTCCTTCTCTTGCTTAAATCAGACCCTGCCAGTGATGCAGAGCTTAGTTATGAGCTTTGTGTGTGGGCAGAGGCTGGCCCTTGCACAGCTCCAGGCACAGCACATGTGAACAAGTAACATCTCTGGGTCGTGTTACGGGGAATCCTCTTGGTTTCCTGCAGGCTGCTCCAGCCTGTCCAGCACCAGCCCTCACGGGTTAAGGGAACTCCTTGGCCTTTCCCAAAGCGGCCAGACCTGCCTGAGTCTATATGGCCCAAGGGCTCAGTGACTCCTCAGCAACCTCAATGGGAAGCCCTTGTAAGATGACTACCAGAAATTCCCCATGAGCCAACCTAGGGCTTGGAACATGTACAACATGCCCGTGATGCCAAGGGTGTTTTGGAGCCAAACCCACACCTAACAAAGGCTCAACCACTTGCTTTGGTATCTCCAGGCAGCACATTGAGCGGACGCTGGATTAATTGCATGATGCCACGATGGAGGCTGTTGCTAGGTTACAGCAACCCATCTGCAGGCCCATCCTACTGCGGGATTTCCCCAGGATCGCTCATTCCCGAGCTCAGGAGCAGCCTCAAGGGACACCAAGCACTACGGTCTCTGTGAGATGGGGACAACTCAGCTCTATAGGGCAGCATGTTCTTTAGATGTCCTCCTGCTCCCTGGCTCCCCTCCATCTCTGCCTGGCCCACCCCACCTGCGGGTTGTCCTAGCCCTTGTAGCATCGTCAGGAGCTGCCTGACCAGCTGGTCTCCTCAAAAAGCTACATCCTGCTCTTTTTGTGCCCTGATAAAACCTGAGTTTCAGTACTTTTTATGTGTTTGCTGATGGGGGGAAAGCAGCAAGTTCCCATCCCTGGACCTCAGCAAGCCAAGGAAACACCTCTTCCGACCCCAGGGAAGCAACAGAAATACAGTGAAGCTGAATCCCTCCAAGTGCAGAGCACTGCGTTCCTTGCATTGGCCTTCTCCATATATCACATGGAAAGAGGAAGAGCTGGTGTGTTGCTTAGCCAGCAGCCACCTTCAAGGCACCAGCATGACAGAGCTGTGAAAAAGGCCACCATCRTCACAGGATGCAGCAGGAGACGAATTATCTGGGAAGCATTAATATGAGCCCTGGCACGACCTCATCTSCACTGGCACAGCTACAAAGAGCAATGAACTCAGAGCAGGAGCGGTGCCAAGGACGGCTGCTAGCGCAACCGGGGCACAGCCTGTCCTGCAGAGCAAGGCAGAGCTGGGACACGAGTCCTGTCCATGGAGAGCTCAGAGCAGAGCAGGGCAGTATTTAAACAAGAGCGCTGGCAAAGGATCAAGTAAGCATAAACTGGTGGGGAATGAATCTGGATGGCAGTTAGGAGACAGCTCCCCAGCCTCAGGGTAGAAGACGGATGGACACCTTTCCACAGGGATGCTGGAAGCTGAGTGGAGTTGGGGATGCGGTGGCTTTAGAGGTGGGAGCTRTGAGGACCAGCCAGTCTGTCCTCGTGCTATTTTTCCATGTGGTGTTTTGACAAGCAGGTGGATGAAGCCACGAGCTGGGTCTCCGAGACTTGCTCCTTTTGGCACAGGCTTTGTCATGTGGGGCTGGGGAACATGGCTCAGCAGCAGCATTAAGCAGCTTGAGCCTCCTTCAGGGATGGGTTTTGTGACCCATTAAAACAGATTAAGAGCCGCGAGAGCTTCAGCAAGCAGGGATGGCCCCCTGTGCTAGGGAGACCTGGGGCTCAGGCAGTTGGGAGGGGGGTGCTATGAGCAGGGTGCCTTTGCACAGGATGAATCCATGGGGAGAGGCAGCTCTGAGCAACTCAGATGCAGGCAGCCTGGAAGGTCTCATCAAAATCATCTCCAGGTAGGAAACTACAGGGATGTCTGTGGGCACAAGGTGCACTGCAAAGCCTGCACAGATCGAAGTGCCAGCCTCTTCTCAGAGTACAAGCTCACCCATGTCTTGTCACAGCAGCTGCAGCAAGTCACAAACTAGGAGCTGCCAACAGYGACAGGTCACTGACAACCGTCACGCTGGATCTTCCCTATTCCAGAGATGAGTAGCGCAGGAGGCACTTCCCAAAACAAATGCTGGGCACAGCACTCCCATTTGTACCTGGACTTACTAACAGAGCCCCAGCCCACTACAACTGCAGCCCATAAAGCAGCTAGCAGCCTCCCCCCAACGCTGGGTACATTCGGGTACATCCCTTCTCCCCTCTTCTCCTGGTGGGYTCTAACACCAGCCTGAGGTGCAAGCAAAGCAGAGGCTGCTCTGCAGRGCCCTGCTCCACAGCTCAGCAACCGCGGCTGCAAAGATGCAGCGGGTGGGAAAAGAAGATGGAGGGACCAAGACAGAGGGACCAGAGGACACCTCTCAAGACCCACTCTGAACAGCTTTGAGCCAGCCCAGTGGGTGCCAAGATCCAGCTGTTCTGTGTCAGAGAGCCCCATGGGATCCAAACCCAARAGCAGGGCGCTCGCAGGGGCAGCACAGCTCTCAGACGTGTCTGTCCCCCAGCAGCCCCCAGGACACGGCTCCCCTTGGTGGGCTTGGAGGCTAGGCCCTTCAAGCTGGCCATCTACAAATGCTGTGGGATCTGTTCCTCTGCCTCCTGCCTCACTCCACCAGCAGAGATCTTGTACAACATGCAGCTCTGGCTGGCTTTGACTCCAGGAAACTGCAGCTCCTCATCCGTAAGGTCTTGATTTTGGTTTTGGATGACTGATACACCCAAAAGCAMATACACTGGTACCTCTAGAGATGTGCACAGGAATTATTTATACCAGTGTGATCCTGCAGAAACTTCCTCACGACGACAGGCACGTACACATCCTTTTTATATCTGGCTTATTCAAAACGCTGGGCATCAGAAAGACCAACTCAAACAAGATCTATTTCTTACTCCACTTACGCTTGCCAGCACTGGGTTACATCTCATTCTGCAGTCCCAACCGGCTCAGCATTTCCTGAGAATGGGCAGGAGAGGTTTAAGTCACAGGTTAACTGGTATCTATTCACTGCTGTCTTCTTCCACCCTCCTGCTTCAGGCACTATGTGGGATTTTGTGGCTAGGCTCCAACTCCACATACCCTCTTAAGGCCATAGAATAAGGGAAGAGACCCCCCCCCAACACACATCTTTTGTCTTTTAAAGGAACATTTTTGAACAGAATGACTCATCTTTACTTGTTTTTGTCTCAGTCCCTTGTGCTGACAATGAACTGAGCTRCAGGGAGTGTCAAGGCTCCTACTGGGGTCAAATCTGGCCCAGATAAAATATAAACCGATGCCAACATCAATTCTTCTCGGAGCTTCGGTGCCTGTGCAGCCTTCTGCTAGTCTCAGAGCTGCCTTCCAAAGCAAATAGAGTTGAATAGAAACACAGACTCTAGCCCTGATGCCACGTGGAACAACACAAGCTTTGTTGGGACAGATCTTGGTCTTTGTGAAAGAACTCATGGGTTCTCAGTTTGACTTTTTTTGGAGTAATTTTTAATTTAGTGCCCTTTCCACAACGCGTAAGAATGCAACGGCACGAGGCAGGGGCTGTCCTTTTGTGAAACAGTCCTGGAGGGACATGCAGCTCACAAGTCCAGGTAGACACACGCTTGCAATGGAGATGTACAGAGGCAGTTGTGGAACAGAGCTTTATAGTTGGAATGGACCGTACCAGGTTTCCCGATGTGGAATGGAACATGACCCCAAACCTTTACAGAACAGAAGAGCTTTCAGGAATGCAGCTAGCTGAAGCCTGACTGTCTCCCTTCCTTTCTGAAAGCAGGGCTGCAAACCGGTTGCATTTCAGTCAATATTTTCCTCCCCAGGCATGCGAAGTTTGAACTGTCCCATGCAATTTACCTACAGTGTCATGAAATGATCATCAGAGAAGAAGGTAAAAGATCATAATGAAATAGACCTGAACAATATACTGCTCATGCAGCAAAAATCCAGTTCATTGTATAAGGAAACAGCTACAAGTGCATTTCTTGCGGAGTAAAGGAGGAAAAAATTAAAAAAAAAAAGGAATAAAAAGAAAAACGCAGTAGTTGCCTGCTGTTCAAGACAGTTTTGCAGTGGAAGATGGATCCAAAGAATATTTTGCCTTATAGGGATGTCAAAGAAAACACCAGTTTGGATTTCAYGGTTGACAACTTACGTGGAAAGGAAGGGAGAGGGAGAAGAGGTGAAAAAAATCAAACTTGCAAGCCAAATCAACTTGCAAGCCAAAGGGTAATGTAAGACAGCGCTTCTGGAGGGAGCTTTACTGTTGGGCTGCAGAAGGGACACCAAAACAGAAGGGGTATGGAACGTTAACAAGCTCATAAAACACAGAGGCTGCTCACGGAGACACAGGCAAGTGCAAAAAGCTGGAGTCCATCCACTGGCAACCTGTGCTGCTGAGCAGGTACCGCTCCATGGGTCTAACAACAGAGTGAAAATCAAAAGGCTTTCCAAGCTCCCATGGCAGGAGCAGGCTCTCCAGCTGGGGCAAGGGAGGGAGACCTGGTCTAGCAAACACGGCCTGCAGTGCTGATGGTACTTGCACCAGGAAGGAGGCTGTCCTAGCTACAGTGGTTGTCCCACTCAGTGCAGAGAGGCAGCTGTTGTTTTTACAGCACAACTGTAAAATGCCTGAGAAGCAATTGCCTTGCCATGCTGATGCTGTTTCTGTAGACAGTTCTGAAGTTCTGGATATCTCCATTTCCATGATAGTCATCTCCCTGAGAGGTACCAAAGGGATGGGATTCTAGTGTATGCAAATTCAAGGGTGGGAAATGCAGAAAAGCACTGATTTTTCTCTCTTTTTCAAGTTAGCTTTGCGCTTTGCATTGTTTTCCCAAACTGCATAGCAGCTTACGTGTAGTGTCCGAGACACTGGGGCCACGGAAATCAAGGGGGCATCATGAATTCCAACAGCAGCACCAGTGAGTGCTATCTAAGTTGCTGTGCAGAAAGGTCCCTTTCAGAAGGACTCCAAAATCACACGCACTCTCTCTCATTCTGGCCCTTGYTCTCTGTCTTAAAGAGCTGTATGTAGCATTATCTGCTTGATTTAAAGCTCATCAGTCGCCAGGTGGAGCAAAGGCCAATACCACCTTTCTCATTAAAAAAATAGGAAGGATAAAAAGTTAAAGATTTGAGACAAGTGAGCATGAGGCGTTCATGCAGCATGTTTTGTTGCACTCCTCTAATAAGACAGGAATTTTGGGTGTGCGGCAGATGAATAGGAGGGGTGCAGCAGGCAGCAGGTCCCCTTCACCTCTCACACTCTGCCAGCTACCCAACTGGGCATCTCTGGAAGAAGACAGAATGACAGCCTGGGAGCAGGCCCAGGAATCATATCCTGAACCTTCCCTTCACTCAAGTCCATCATGGCTGCATTTTCTTTGTGTAACAAATGCACCAGAACAGCACACGCAGATGTAAAGCTTTTGTTCTGCTAGCTCTGCTTTGAGGGACTTATAGGGCAAACGGCCAAAGCTTTACACATCTGCACCTGTCCTGGTGTGACTCACAGGAAGAGATGGAGACAGCCACCGATAGAAGAGTCCACTGCGCTTACACACGGCTGCTCTACAGCTCCTCATAGTCCCCACCTCCTCGTGGCTTACTCATGCTGGCTCCTCCTCCTCCAAGAAAAGCCTCCAGTTCATCTATCTCATTTTTCTCCTTGCTCTTCTTCTTCTTTTTCTTTTTCTCATCTTTGCCCTCTTCCTTCTCTTTACTCTTTTTGTGTTTGCTCTTCTTTTTTATGGACTTCTCCTCTTCCTGCAAAATGAGAAAACACTTTAATAAATGTTCTGAGCATGCCAGTAACTCATCATTTATCACCCTGAAACTTGGCTCTGACAGGAACCTGACTTAGGGAGGGTAGAGTCCACTATGGAGGTGGCTGGGAGTTAGTTCCAGAAGACCCTCCTGCTAGTTTGGACAGAAGAGAGGACACACCATCTGCTTTACACCTAGTGGTGGTCTGTCAGGTAGTGCTGGCTGTGACTACAGCGGGTAAGAAATGTCAATGAAAAAGCCTCCTGCAGCCCCCTGCCACCTCTCCGATTAGCTCTGGCCGAGACAYCCTCTGCTTAGAAAAAGTCCTGGTGCTCATCAACAGGCTCAGCCCAAGGGAGAGGCATTGCTCTATTTTATAATGCATTTTACAAACTCAGACGCTGCCTTTTCAAAATGTAACTGCTCTCAAAATTTGCCCTTAAGCCCTGATGTAGCTGGTAGGGCTGTAGAGCCTGGGGAGCACGGATCTAGTTGGAGGATGGAAGAATGGAAGAAGGTCCACCAGACACACAGTGCATGCTGTAGAAGGCCACCCCTATCTCTGGCTCAGGGATGAAACAGTACCTCTTTGCTTTTCTTTTTCTTCTTCTTTTTATCCTTGGAGGGTTGCTTATCTGTTCAAAAAAGAAAACAATGCTCTCTTTAAATCAAATTAAACCATGAGAGATGCATTTCTACCTCAACAACCCCACTTCTGAGAAAATGTCCTGTCCTGGAGTCACGTCTAAAGGCAATTCTGACTCCTCAGGCTCAATTATGCTCCTTGGAAACCAACAAAGGCCTCAGCGGTCAGATCCTCATCACATTAGACATATGTCTATCCTGTGGCCATACGTGCCACTCACATGGACATGAGTACGGAGCTGGCCATTCACTGTATCACTGCTACTAAAAACAAAACAGAGACCTGCTCTGTGACCTGGCCCAAAGGCTGGGCTGGGGACCAGGCTCCTCTCCAGAACTGAAAATTATTCCTGGGAATAATTTGCTTCTGGGCGCTCAGTATTCAAGGACACATGTAAATACTGCTWAAGCCACAGGCAAGAACAGACACGTTCTGCACTTCAGCTAGTGCAACTAGCACTGGWCAGGACCACTAAAACCCCGCTGTCCCCACATGGGAGCATCCCAGTAGCTCAGCGCTTGCTGTTKTTCAAAGTGTCTATGACAACTGCATCATCACAAGGCCAAAGGCCAGTGTTGCTGCCCTGTTTTACAAGGACCAATCCCACTGGAAGAGCCTCAGAGTCAACCACTGTCAGAATATTTGTCTCGTTATTGTGGCTGCTGGTTCAGCAGCTGATCTGCCTGCTGAGCTTCTATATCTTCGCACAGAATTTTTCTGCATAGAAGAGTTTCTATTTGCTAGTTATAAAGGAGGTTTTATAATGACACTGCATGCAATATCTTATTGCCAGTATCTTATTTTTATATTTTTTTTCCTCGGTTCATCAGTAAATACAAGTCCACCATGGACAAATATAATAGCTGGTCAAGCTCCACCTGACTGACTAGCAAGGTATGTTTTTATATTCATTCCAGAAAGAGGAGACAGGAGRAAGCCACGCTGTATTATTAGAGATGCTAAACTGAAGCTTAATTATTTATTTGWATTTCTTCAGATTCACTTCCAGGCAGCTACTGCAAGTTGTGCTGCTCAGCACCTCAAAGCGACAARCTGATGAAGCCATTGCTGTCTCTGACACCTAACTTACACTTGTGGAACAGTGATTCAAAGTGAAATTCCTCCTATGCTGCTTACAGCTTTTTCTCCCTTCAAGTCTTTAATTTCCTATCTTTCTGGGTGACATCAAGGGCAGATCTATAGGAAGCAGCTTTATAGAGATGTCAAAACAGTAAACATTATTTGCACAAGGAGGATCTGTTCCCTCAGGGGATGGAGGGAATAAAAAAAAAGCCCTGAGGAATGCTTAGGTTATGATCAGATCCTCACTCCATCTTTGCTCAAAATAGAAGGGTAAACTGGCAGGGTATGTCAGAGCATCTTGCTCAAATTGATGCAGGTTCTTGAGGGGGTGGATACTGCAGTGCTGAACACCAATTTCCAGGCATGCAGAGCTATAAGCAGGAAGTCTCCCACAAAGATGTGCTCCTGCTTCCAGCTGGGGCAAAAATAATATATGGCTGATGCCATGGACGAGCCAAACTGCTGTTCTCCCACGAAAAAACAGAAGAAAGTTACTTAYGGTGTGTTAAACCAATTAAGCACTCACATAAGTCTGTGCATAAGTCACAGGGTATTTTATTTAGTGCAAATTGATTTGCTTACATCCTGGAAGGAGAAATGAGTTCCCGGGCAAACAAGATGAGCAAGAACGGAAGCAGTTTGATCCTTACCTTCCTCACTGCTTTCCTTGGGACCAGTTTCTTCCAAGCCCAAGCCAAAGAGATCTGAATCATTCTTCAGTTTAAATGAGGGGACTGTTGATTTCACAGGCTGGGGTGGTTTTGCCAATGAGGTATCATCATCAGATATTTCAGAGAGATCCTCCCGGATGGGGAATTCATCCTACAGACATCAGAAGGCAGATATTACAGACAAATATTTCAACCAAAATCTCTAAGTGTTTTTTTACATAAAGATTCCAGATGTGAGAGAGTGGGAAGGAAGGAAACGGTAGCTGATGATCTCAGCTGCTAGTCCCTGGGTATCAACATACTTGATCCTATAAGCTCTATTCCCTGCTACAGTGAAATGCCTAGGTAGTACTGGTACTGGAAAGCATGCTCTGCTACTTCACATTTGTGCTAGCTTTAAACAAGACTTTCAACTGTGTTTGCTCAACAGCACTGGCCTTCGACAGCCCTGAAGAGATACCTCTGCTGTGGATAAAATCAGATATGCTGGGCTGAAAGCTGATCTCCAGGCCTGCTGCACCAAACCCTGTGCTGTGCAGCAGTGAGGGGTCTGGTGTGCTACAGAGAGCACGACGCGGGGCCAAGGAAGCAGTCTGTGTTTGCAGAATAAATCCCTCTGACAAGTCAAAAGGGAGCTCCCTTTTGATGATTTTTTTCCCTTTACACACAGGCTAAAAACAGGACACTGCAGAGGCTGGATGTCACCTAAAAAAACCTCTCTCACTGCACAATGAGAATGGAAATGAAGGTTAATGATCTCTGATGCAYGTCAAGTGATCCTCTTCAGAATTTGTTATGTTCTCTTTTTTATGATGTTCTCTGTGATGACAAAATAGGGCCTCACTGCTGTGGGCCTGGCTGTCATGACTTGGGAATACTGCTTAGCCTGACCAGTAATCTCTGTACCATTTATAAGATGAAGAGCATCTCCCTGACACCACTGCAAGGGTRAGCTCCATTACAAATCCCATTTCTCATAATTCACATCCTAGGAGAAGTAAACTTGCTCAAAATACTTTTGCTTTTATATCAAGGTACTAGGAAAAGCAAGTATTGAAAATGAACRAATGGAAAATCGTTTAATAAAGAACACGATGACACATAGCGAAGGTCAAGGAAACTGGGACAAGTGTCCTTTCTGCAAGCTGCTATAACGATGCAAACACACAAAACCCTCCCAAATGACAGCAAATTCAGACACCGGGAGTAGCTTTGAAAAGCAAGGGCCTATCTCAAAGCAAAGTCAGCTGTTTTTTCACTAACTCCACTGCTTCACTGTCTGTGAGTGCAGATTTCTGTAATCGGGAATTGCTAGAGCCACAGTAGCAAGTTCTTATGAGCCTGAAGAAGATCCCTACGTTTTCTCCATCTTTAATCCACGACAGGTCCAGGAGAAACTCCAGCTGCTCCTTGTGTTTGAGCAATCATCTGCACAGGCTGCACTGAGCAGATGCCCATGTGTGGAACATCACGGAGATATTACAGCTAACCTGCTAACCTGACACTGCTGGAGAGCTCYTCTCCAGCATATTCCGCTAATTCAGTAATGAGCCATGCCAAGTAAATTCAGTTACGGCCTTTGATTGTTGATTGACTGTTGGGAGCCCACTTGTTTCTCTCTGGCATGCACACATTTCCTCATAATAAACTTGGAATGAAAACCCCTGAGTTTTGAATTTCATACTTTCCACACTGCTGAACTGAGCAATATCTGGAGTTACTGAGAATAACAGCACACTTAAAATCCATTACCACAACCCTCACTGCTGTGTGACTTCAACAAGGACAGCATTAGCAGGTCTGTGCTGAAACCAAGCCCTTCAGGTTGCTTAGCACCAGGCTTGCTGTGACTGCTGCTGCGAGACCAGGAGAGCAGACGAAAGCCCTGCTCAGAGAGATGCCTCGACGCTTCCAGCTCAGCTTTGCAGCAGCACACAGGGATTCACGCATGCTATTTACCATTTTCTTTCTCTGGCTGTCAGATTCCTCGCTTTCAAAGTCTGGGTCATCCATAACAAATGAGAGCATCTGAGTAGCTATTGGTCCCTCTTGATCACTGTCAGACTCTTCAGGCTTCTCCTCTTTGACCAATTTGGGCTTGAGAGCATGTCCTTTGCTTTGAGAAGTGGTCTTTGAGGGCTGGGCTGCTGCTGGGGTGGCAGCAGCAGCTGTTGGCAGCCCAGAGCTGACCTTGCTGCTGCTGTTTTTTTCAGATCCAGAATGTGGAGATAAATTATCCGGAGGCTTCGGGTCAGTTGCTTTGGTCGAAATTACTTCGCTCTGTGGTTTCAGAGAATTTCTGGAAGACCTTGAAAGAAAGAAACGAGTTGTTAGAGCCAGTCCACACCAGTAGTCTCCAGGTCCCAAAAGTGCTCCCGGCCTCCTGCAGGCAAGCTCTAAGGAGAGGGGTGACAAGAAGCCTCCACTCAATCCCACTATAGAGGCCATGAAGTGAACTCCAGGAGCTGCATTACTGGAGACAAGTAAGACACCAGAGCTTAAGTAATGAGCTCTTCCCAGCTCCTGCAGGGCTACTAAACCCATATTTTATATGCTAATCCTTTCCTAATGTCTGTCTCTGCATCAGGCATGTCCTCTTATCACAACAGTCATGCACGCCTAGCCAGTGGTAGAAGGATGTTTAAAGGAGGAACAAGCACTTTTCTTTTGGTATTCCACATTTAACTCCCATTTCTCTTCAGCGCTGCACAAGCGAAGCAAAATGACCACCTGACAGCTGAGCCTGCCTCACAGGCTTTCTCAAAAGGAGATGTAGCACATGCAGGAAGCAGGGAGGCTGTCCAAAAAAACACCGTTCAGAGGATGAAAGTGTTTCTGGCAGGAAATCAAATGCTGAAAGACAGCTCTCCTGTCCCTGAGGATACTGATGCAGAGGTGTCTGCATCAGCTGGCCAAGCCTGCCCATATTACCCACAGGACTACAGGATACATGAAAAAYATGATTCAGTTCATCGTTCTCTAACACGGGATGTGGTGAATGACTTCCATTCCCCTCGCCACAAGATTCAACTCCTCTGTCCTCCTCACACTGCTAGGAATAGACGTTGAAAAGCTTGGTTACAGTCTCTCATTCCAATTTGAGAAAAAGGTTAGGACATTTCTAACCAGGAACGTGCCCGCGACCGCTGAAGGACTTTACTCGGGTCACGAGCGCTGACACAGCACTTAGGCAGGGTGTAACTGTGCTSTAAGAAATCCCAGTACCACCAACCACCTTCTGAAAGCACTATGTATATCAGTCACACCCAAGGTAAACAGATCCCCACCTCTCAGTTTAAGGAAGAGGCTCAGAGAGACCCTAGGAGGCCACACAAGAAGCCATTAGCAGGGCTAGAAAGAGGCCCKAGGCTGCTAACACAATTTCATATTTCAAGCTGTGCTTTGTACCTTTTTTTTTCATGTTGAGTATCAATGTCCTCCTCAGGCAGGTGTCCAACCTTGGAGTCCTTCACGGTTTCCTCTTCCTCCTCCTCCTCACTGGACAGGGTGATGTTCTTGCTGGGCACGCGCTCTGCTGCCAGCAYGGGCCTGCTGGGCATTTTGTCATCCAGATCCAGGTCGTCTTGGAAACCTGCTACCATAGGGTTCCCTCCTGGTGCCTCTCCATCGCTGCAAAGGTAGACACAGATCAGACACCACAGGGTGTGCTGGGACAAACTCATCCTACCCTCCAAAGCAGAGTGACCCTGGCCAAGCTTTTAGAAGTAACTTCAAGGTTGACTTCCCTTATCCAGGCGTGACTCTACCACCAGCCTCCCCTTTTGCACTGCYCAGCCCAGCACCAGGACCTGTTCCCATAGAGCCTACGAGTGCCACAAGCCCAGTACCAAGATGGGGACCAGAAGACATCACACAGTGCTGCCACCACTCAAGCCTAGTATAAGTGGCTAGAAAAGGCAGGTCTTGGTGCTGAAGAGCAGCCCATTGCTTCAGCCGTGTCTTCTGTGCTCTCACATGCAAGATGAGTCAGTTAAACATTAGGAACTGCCTGACTTGATCCCTCCAATCTGTAATTAAATCCGACCATTTACTGTCACTGCTACACAAATTCACCTGCAGCTACTTCTTAGAATTATTTCTATTTTGGTGGTACTCCCTGAAGCAGGCAGCTGCTTAGACAACACAACCATGCYTTAACAGTCCCTAAATTCAATTAACTTAAGGTCACACTTTTAGAGCTAAGAGTCTTTCAACATCCCTGGATATAACACAGTTAGGCTTTCAGAGACATCTTGACAGAGAGCTTCACATCTGAAATTACCAGCTGAGGATTCCCGCCTGCATTTCCCCACGCAGGTTTAATACTTCCCCAAGGACTCGCRCATATCAGGAACGGAGGTGTTTTTGTGCTCTCTTTGCGTTACCTCTCCTCATTTCTGTTTGCTTTATYTGCTGCTGGGCTCTTTCTTACAGATGCCCATTTGCTTCCTGAGAACCTACCATGAATAATATTTACTGTCCTTTTAATGACTCGACACTGTGCCGATGACACAGCTTAACACAGGCTGAAAAACCTTAACATAGTGCAGCAAAATTCTCCTGCTCACTCCRTTTTTTCCTATGTCTAATTACTGTTTACCAGTTAGTTTTAAAGAATTTACACATCTGCGCAACGTACGGGGCACTGTGTTCATCACCAAAGGGACAGCACATTTAGAAGGATTACAATTAATGGCCGATCAGGTCTAACATCTGCTCCTCCTCTTGCTTTCTGCGTAGAGCCCTGAGACGCCCCTCTGCTTTCAGAGGGGGGCACAGCTCCCAGCCGAGCAGAGGCTGCCGAAGGTCCCTTCCTCAGCATCACCACTGTCCTTGCTCAGAGCCACAAGGGAGGTTCACAGCTTCTCCCACACAAAGGAGAAGACGGGTGCCCCAAACAACCTCCAAGGGCCACACTGGCTGCAGGAGTGGGAAATTTCTAAGGTCTGGAAAGAACTGCTGGGGATTCTTCTCCAAATGCACTGGCAAGAAAATGGAGACACATCCTAAAAATGGCAGTGTACTGTTTTGAACTAGTAACGCTGCATTTCTTTACACATGTCATCGCTCTGCTAAGCACACAGGGACTCCTCAGAGATTGCTGCTTTTGCTGCTGTCCTTCTACCACACASAGACTTGATGTGCAATCTTTAAAACACTCTGGGTCTGAGCAGAAAGCACATCCATGTGCACATGCACACACACAAAGTGGGTCACCTCCCTTAGCCATGAACCCACTACCTCCATCTACAGCTTCCACATAAATTACTGAGCGACAGCTTAAGAGCAAAGCAACGAAGTGAATATACGTCAGGAAAATCACTGCTGCAGTACAAACAAGGTCTGACAATGCAAAATTAGTATCAGCTTGTGGTCCTGAGATTCCAGCTGGAAGGAATTCAGAGCAGGCAAAAACAAGCACATTGCACCACTCTCTCTAGCACTTGACACGCTGCCAGGCCTGCATTAGTACTGAGCCAACAATGAGTTTTCAGGCGCAGGTACCCACCAAAACACCTGGGCTTGCCGAGGTCTGTGTTTGGGCTACTGATCAAAGGGCAGCTTGAGAGTTCCTCAGAGCGAGCCCTCCGTGGCACATACAAAACAGCTTCTGGTGGTGGAACAAATCCTGCTGCAACATGAGCATGCAGCTCCCAAAGCCGTGTCAGCAGCGCTCCAGCAGCCCTGCCGCACGGCAGCAGAGCCAGTCCCACAGAGATCCAGCAGAATCCTCTGGCCACATCAATTTGGGGGCTAGAGAAAGAAGGAGAAACCCAAAATCTAATACAGCAGATAAGCTGAGGGAATCTTATTTTGCAGGATGAGCCCACAAGAGTATATGCTGGGAGGTGGGAGCCTTCCAGGATGAACCAAGCCGTGCCCTCAGCTTCCCTTGGTCTAGCTCAGCTGGGTAACACCAGACAARTAAAAGATGCCATAAAAGCAAAGAACCAGTTCAAAGCCCTTCAGATTTAGGGACATGGAAATCTAATCCAGGTTGCCGAGAAGGCCTACTGATGTGCAGAAACTACTAGGTTGTGCATAAACTCACTTGCAAATAGAGGCCTACAGCCTCTCCATGAGCCAGTTTGACCCAGCAGGAAAGAACAGGGGAGCCAATCCAGAACCCCATGAGTCCTTCTAGTGCAGCCACACATGCACTGGCCTAGGATAGAAAAGCTAAAGAGCAGCAAGGTAAGTGCTGTGACAACTAATTAGGAAACTGAACTGACTTCCTAATGAGCTGGCAARGAGGCTGATTTGGGGAGTTCTCTTTATTGCAAGCTAGAGAGCCATAATGTGTCGTTAAATAAAACCCAAGACTGCATAAATCTCTGCAGACCTGTGCTGGGAGTTAGCTAGCACTTCAGGAGGAGCTGAAAGTCTCGGCAGCTGTCTCATCTTAGGGCAAGAAATGCCCTGTGCCACAGGCATGAGCTCATTCTCTCTGCTCATCGCTGCCAGCACGCTTCAGATTGTTTTTTTTTCTAATACTGTTACTCCAAGTCAACTCTCTGCTCTGTGATACCTCTCAGAGCAGAGAATGGGGAAAGAGAAGGTCAGAAGGTACTGCYGAAAAGAGAATAAAATCAAAGAATTCCCCATGCAGCTAAAATGCACAAGAAATATCAGACTTGGTAGCCTCCCCCTGAAGTTCATAAAAAGAAAAGCAAACAAGTCCTTACAAAATGCACTCAAGCACACTATAAAGCCCRGGACGCAGTTTGGCTACACAGCACAGGACCATAACCAGCCCTGTGTCAAATGAGAAGTGCACAGTGCACTAATGCATTCCCATATGGACTAATTACAAGACTATTGCTTACAGATCTTTCCTTTTATCTGAGGGAAGTAACTTCTAAACATKTGCAACACAGAGCCCGTTTCCCTGCTACACCTTGTATACATTCCTCTTGCAAGATTCTCCAACTGTTGTTACTCACTCAACAGCCTCCAGCATTTTTTTAAATCCAAACATCTCCAGGAGGTTTGTGTGGTTTTTCAGGAGAACTTTTGTTTTATTTAGGCCAAAGATCAAGTTTTGCCATAAATTTTGTTGCAACTGCAACAATCTACTTGTTGCAGTAGGGACTGATTATTACGGATGATGCTTACTGAACTCTTCAATTTCTCCTAATTGGTGTCCCAGAGGGAATCAGTTAGAACAGGTTATAGACAGAACCACACATCACATCTCTGAATTTCAGCAGTCTGATATACTGTGGTAGGTGCTTTTTAGCATGAAACAATGTAAAATTACTAGACCTCTCAGAAAACTGCATGAACTGTGTAAGAAGCCACAACAAGATGYGGATGCAAAAATGTAGAGAAATACCAAGTATCTGATTTTGTAGGTGTGTATTGCAAGGTCTCCTCCCAGGGAAATAGTGTSGTTCTACCTGCAGATAGCTACCACTGCCTTCAAAAAACGAAGCAGTGAATATGTTCTTTCTGAATGCAGTGCAATCCCAGAGGTCTTTCTCTTTTCCCTCTCACCGGATCAGAGGCACTGGAAGGCATCTGTCCAAGACTGGAGACAGAGCAGAGAGGGGGCCATCTAAGCAGCCAAGAAAGTGACAGCTCTACAAGGGTTTTTGTGCCACTGCTTGAGATGTTTAACGCCTATTTGCTTCCAAGTACCAATGTTCTGGAAGGGAAAAGCCTTTATTAAAGATCCAGCCTCCCATGCCCAGCAAGAAAAGCTCCAAGGTCTTTCCAGAATCCTGTCCTGGAGCAAACCCTAGAAAAGCCAGGCTTAGCTCTCCTGATATTTCTTTGTTAAACATAAAAAGAGAGCATAACCTGGCCACAGCCAAGAGTAAGGCACTTTGCAGGTCAGCACCCTTCTAGCAGATACTCTTTAAGAAAAAGTAACATAAATAAATCCATGTGTCCTACAAGGAATGATGCTTCATGCCGACCTCCGTCAAGCAGGCATGGTGATACTCAGAGCATTCATTTCAAGTTGTTGCGGGTAAACTAGAGTGTACCATGTCATGACGTGAGTTGGTACACTCTAGTTATACCAAATGACCATGACAAATATGTCAAATGATGCAGAATCCACAGCATCCACAGACAAGTCGCATCAGCATTTAATTACTCTCSTGGTTAATGTGTTGGGGAGAACAAGAGGCAGCAGGCAGGGACTATCCTAAGCAGATGGATGCAGAGCCTGTGGAGTGCTCTTAGGTTACCTCTCAAATGACAGGCGGCTCTAGGACAGTCCTGGTGCACAGCCTCTTGTCTGAGCAGCTCAGTGCTCCACATTCAGCAGTGCACCTTTTTTGGGGGTAAAAATGACCAGGAAAAACACCTCCATCTCCAWACTTCCAGAGTCCCACCAAGCCATGCAGTGACCTCAAGTATCCTCTAGCAAACACCAACCCAGAGCCTCAGAAATGGCTGTGCCAAGGAGCACCCAACCATGCTTTGGGTCTCTGTAGTAGGAAGAAATGTTAGGTCAAACAGAGTAATCCTGCAAAGTGAACCACATTCCAGAAGGAAAATATCAAACCATTTCAGTATGTTAGGCCTGAAGGGAAATCCCTTAACCCAAAACAACCCACTCGGTTCAAATTGAGGTAAGCAAATCCAGAAATGCAATAAATGGCTTTCACTGCTGTTTCTCTGATTCCTCAGGGGTGTTGTGCCTCTTCCCCAGGAGATGGTAGAAGGCAGGAAGCATAAGGACAGCTCATTGCTCAGCGGTCACCTTTGGAGCAGTTGCAATAGGTTAGTTAGGCCCAAGCCACATCCAGATGCACGCCCAGGAGCATCCCTGCCGCAGCCCTCTCCCTCCTCCTCGCCTCACCTCTCACTGTCCGCATGGCGTTTAGTCTGTGGTTTCCCTTTGTCCTTCTGTGGGGCTGAGTCTTCCAGAAAGCTGTGGTCCAGGCTGTCATCAGGAACAAAGTCCTCCACGCTCTGCACTTTTGCAGAGGCTTCAGGGTGGGTGGGAGGAGTAGCAGCATCTGCACAGGAAACAGCAGTTGTACACACAGAGCTCAYGACAAGCAGGATGTAAGTTGGCTTTTACAGGTGTACTATGCTCAGGGCCTCTTCATCACTCAGATAACTGCCACAAAGCCACAAACACATTAGCTATACAGCAGGTGCAGTGAAAGGRTACAAACAGGACACTCAAAAAATTCCAGAGACTTGCAAGAAAATATTCAGATAACACGCACAGCCAATGTGGTTTACAATAGATCGTGATGAACTTAGCTCTTAAACAGGTCTGAAAACTCTGCCAAGATCGTAGTATTCATCATAAAGTGGAATCCGCTAACTACACCACAACTAGCTTTTACACGTAGGTAGCTGTGTGCATCACTCCTGCACGCTGCCCCCACATTATTTTCTTACCTTTTGCAGGCTGTTCAGTTCACCCACTCACCTCCYCTAGCCTTACGAAATGTAATTGTCAAAGGCAGAACTGTTCACRCTTTGCTTTTAGAAGTCCTGTGTAACTAAAAGCTCAAGAGAGACTGCAGATGAAGATTTGCTTCAATGCAGCTTATTTGCAGAGCAATCTTTACCTACCTTCAAGGGATCAGGATGAAAATTCTTGAAATTAGCAAAACAAGCCTAAGGAGATAATTCTTTTCAGAATTTGTAATATTCAACATTTTTATTCTGCCTGGACTGCACTTCATGCCTATGCTCTTTTCCTCTGGAGTGACCAAGTTTTCTGTATGAATCTAGATTCTGTCCTACCAGCACAGCTTGCACTTAACTTCTGCACATAAGTAACACTATTATCAATGTCATGTTGTAGCTTTGGTGCAAGGAAAACACAGCCAAGAGAATCACTACTGCAAGACATTAAATACAAGTTTAAATAGCTGTTTTCACCGAGAACATTGAGTTTTAGTTTGTGATAGCAATTTCCAACTATCTTCCAATTAGCAGACACCTAGTCCGGTTCCAGTGGAGCTGCAGAACTTTTGCACGCTGCATTGAAGCTTAACAACAACAACAGATTGGGTTTTCTTAGCCACCTTTGCCATTCTCCAAAAAAAGAGCCCTCAAGATCCGTGGTTGCAGGCCATAAACCTTAAACAAGCTAAGACAAAAAAAATAAAGGGTTGTAATTTGTAGACAACAAACACATTTGGGCAACTTGCCTTTTCCAACAGCAGCTGGAAAGCAGTTTTGCTGTATCCTGTGCCCAATCTGCAGGTTTGCTTGCTGCATATGACCCATCTGGACTGCAGAAGACAAAGGCTTTCTGTTGACACAAGGTTTCCAACAGTTTCTCCTCTCTTATTTTTTGTTTGTTTGTCTCTGGGTAAGAGGAGGTACAAACAAACTGAAATTGGTGTATTGTGTTATACCTGGTAACAGACTCGGGAGGCAGAACACTGTGTACAAATCTAAAATTGAGAGATTTCAACATCTGAAACTGCAGAGTGTTTTCACAGCACCTCCTCCTTTCTTTCTGTGGGTGTCTGGAGAGTACTGCGAGCTCTAGGGATTGACAGATTGAAGGAGAAGGTATTTCCAAAGGTTGATTCAAACCGTGTCATGCTAATGATTTCGAGGTAGTGCCAGTGCTGCAGCTCCAGTCAGCTCTAAAAGCAAAGTGAACGTGACAGACAAATTAAGGTCCAGATCAGGAAAAATGAATGCAGCAAAGCCAAGGATGCCTCCTCCTTCCAATTCCTTCCAGAAGAGGTTCAGCACAAACACTGCACTACTCGGTTTCGTTGTTTACTAGTGTTAAGGAAGTCAGCGTAGGCTACTCTCCTCCTTGGAGTAACTCTGAGGGAGAGCATCTTCCCAGAGGGGAATCCACACACAGCACCAGCGCCATTCTGGACTTGCATGATCACTTCTGGACAGGCAACCTTTAAAATCAACACTCTGCTTTTCCATGGTAATACCYAGGAGTCCTTTTGAGCTGCCAGATTTTTCAAGGATAGCACCTTACACAGCTTCTCTCACAGTTTTTATTGCTGTGCAAGAGGCACACGTACTCCCAAGAAAGAAGCTGATAGATATTTTATTGTCATTCCCTGGGTGCTCAAGACATTCCTCCTGAAGCACCCTCTAGCTTCCAGCCAGGCAGCTGTATGCAGTCACAGAATCACAGAATGGCTGAGGTTGGAAGGGACCTCTAGAGATGACCTAGTCCAAGCCCCTGCTCAAGCAGGGACACCTACAGCACATGGCACAAGGGGGTGCATTCAGTCACTGTCCAAGGGCAGTGTCACTGGTCCAGCACAGAGGAAAATCAGAACGCCGATCAGGACTAAAGGACTAAAGAGAGACAACATGGCTCTCATGGGACACGTGCTGAATGTACGTGCTTGTGTTCCTCAGAGCCCTGTCTGCTCAATCCCTTGCAGGGAAAGAAAGCAGGATGAAAGAGAAACACCCCTGGGTGACCTCCTGCCTGCACACCTCACTTGGGCACTCACCTGGCTGGGGAGGAGAAGGCTCTGATGCAGCAGAAGACCCAAAGAGACGCGCTATGATGCCACGCTTCTGCGGCGCGACGGCGGCTGGGGAGGCCGCGGGCGGCGGAGGCGCGGGCGGCTGCTGGGCCTCTGGTGCAGGCACCGGCGAAAACGATGAGGAGGGTTCGGGGGAGATGGCGGAGCTGGTGGAAAGCGGCTGCGGAGGCTGCGGGGTGCCAGGGCTGGAACTGCCTGTGGATGTGGAGCTCGGAGGGACGATGGGTGACTGGGAGCCAGAGGAAGGGCTTTGCCCATTAGTTGTTAGTGGCGAAGTATGTCCTCGACTTCGGGCTTCCATCATTTCAAGAAAGCTATAGGAAAGACAAATTGCAAATGTAAGGAATGGAGATGACATGCCCAGTACAGCCTGGGAGTGCAARACCATGCTGCTTTGGCTAGGTACTAAGCTGAGAGGACCTGTTTCCAGAGCTGCTGTTATWAAACAGATCCAGTTCACTCGTGACAGCTGCTTTCACCTAGCACATAGGATTCTCCAGAATCCCAACCTGCTCTGCACTGCAGGAGGAAATCTGCACTTGAAATGATGCTGGGGACTCCCTGGATAGACAGACCACAGCAACGTGCCAAAAATAAAACCTGAAATCAGCTCTTGGCCATGCATCTCTCAGGGACGAAGAGCTACAGGAATTGCACATTCTTAGATTCAGCAGAAGAGATCAGAGTACTCAGAATAACTGTAAAAACCTCTTCTTTCTGCCAAGAGTATTTGAGAGTCCTTGACTGTTAAATGAAAAGAGATATTCCAGGAGGGCCACAGAGGACCGACAGGAATTATAAGTCTCATTATGCACATGTACCAATCCAATCATTCTGCCTTGCACGCACACATCAGCTACAGGAGCCACCATGGTTAAGCAGCAGGAAGCTGCAAACCTGACCATTTCCCTGACTTGAACAGCATTAAATCCCATAGAGCCAGAAAGGCTGCATCACTGTGTCCTTTTGAAAAAGAAAACCAAGTCTGATCCTGCTGCAACCCTGTTSTGCAGCCAGGTTGGTTACCAGCTTTTTCACAAGCTTTATCCAAAGAAACAGTACCACACGGGCTGCGGTAACAGCCCAAGCTTTCACTATCAAACAGTCTCAAAATAAGACCTGCTGCATGCAGCATGTCTAAGAGGTACAAAGAGGAATAGCAAAATTGTCAGGTTCATAAAATCTAGCAAATGTCATGATATCTCCTCTTACTTCATTAAGATTAACGAGCTCCTGCATGCACAGAGGTTACAGGTTCAACTACCTCCCTCTGCAAGATAGAGAGACTTTGTAGCACTGAAGGCCAAGAGTCTGTCAAAACAAAGACCACCTCCAGGTCAGAGCTCCAGCTTGTCCTTCAGGAACCCAGATGGATCCCTTTACTGGAAAAAAAGGAAGCAGAAGGGAGGCAGCATGGGCTGGAAGACTCCAGGAGTCCTCAAGACATCATTTTTTACTCTCAGGAGCAACCAAATACATGGTTAAGAAACACACTAATACATTTTGTCAGTGGCAAGGTAAGGAACTCCTCAGAACAACCTCTCCACTCCCTCCCTTTGCTGTTACTTAAGCTGGAAAAAAGGAGTCCTTCCTAATTAAGGGACTGGGTAAAGGGGAGATAAAGAGTAACTTTAGATAGCAGTAATAGGTGGAAGAGAGACTACTGGTAGGGTTTCTCATGGGTCAGCCTTGCGATGGATTTCAGCATTTTAACGAAGTGACACAGAGACCAGGGATACACTCACCAAGTCACACTGCAGGAAACAACATCAACCCCAAAAAGGACAGGGACAACATACAGAAAGAAYTGGATGAACATGAACAACAGAAATGGGAAGAAATGTTATGAAGAAAAAGGTCATTTACTGAAAGCGTTTAGGAAATGGCCACAATGTCACTATATGAGAAGGGTTCAGAAAAACCTGGCTAACCTCTGCCAGAACTCCATTACTAGAAGGCTGCAATGAAACTTGGCCCATGGGGAGCAGGAAAGGAGCCAGRCTGTCACAAGGCCCATCCACTGCCCGTTTCTGAGGCTGCGGTCACAGTGGCTACGTTAGTGCTGCGCTGTACAGGTGCTTGCACGAGGATGTGCAGCATGGCTCCCAAGCACATTCCTAGCTCCAAGGCGAAACGCTCTCGTCAGAGCGGAGATTAAAGCACGTGGCCGAGTGTTCGTTCCAGCAGCCTCCGGCCCAAGGGACCAGGAGCCGCGGGAGCGACACAGCGGAGCGGCTGTGCAGCCCCCCCGAGAACCCCGCATGGATTAGTCACGTAGCAAAGAGAAAACGGGGAAGATTAACCACTGCACACACAAGCCTGAAGCTCTGTGGGGACACAGAGCAGAGCGCGGGGAAGGCACAAAACACAGCCCACGTTGCAAGRTCCCAACAGCATTTTCACTGCCTTGCTGCCGCTGCTCTGCATGACTGAGCAGATGTATAGCACTCCTTTCTYGAGGAGACAGGAATCATGCAATGGGACAGCCCATGCAAAGCATTTGTGGTGATGGCAAGGAAAGGACATCTACTTTTTTGCCCCTGTCCAACAAACTGAATGCTCTAATCCACAAAATGTGCAGCTATGGCCTGGAGATGCCTCCAGGAGACTTGCCTGCACAGGCTGCGTGCTGCTGCGGACCCACCGCAGAGGTGCGAGGCCAGGTCTGCTTGTCCTCCAAGAGCAGCTCAGCCTGCCTACAYGAGCACCTCAGTCACCTGCAAACAGGACTCAAACACTGCCAAGCCTTTGAGCAGGACACTGGACCCACCATCAGGGAAGATTCAGGCAGCTGGAAGATTCAGGCAGGACAGGACTGAAATTAAGGAATGAGGATCACACATGCAGCACATGCAAACTACATCCTTTCCATTTGAGATGACAACATGAAGCTCAAAGAGTACTTAAAGGTGACTGGTAAAGTGCACGACACTGATATCAGGCTATTTGAAGACTTACTGTACTTTGTACTATCAAAGCTGCCCAGTTTTGAACAACCTGCTTTGTTCTGGGCAGAAAGCCAGCTCCGGAGGGAGGGAGGACTGTCACTACCACCTGTTTCTGCTGCAGAAACACATGAATTTTAAGAGCTGGAGGGAAAACATTCAACATGACTGAAGTAAAACGAGGGCCTTTTTCCCCTCCAGCTCAGCTAGTTTGGAGAGTTGCACACACTCAGGCTCACTTCTGCACCTGCTCCTATGCTTCACTTATCTACATTAGATGAAGGGCATTTGAACAAGGCATAGCAAGCTATTTTTAGTAGAAAGAACTGATTATTTGGGAGCAGCATGAGATACACTGTTGGTCCAACAAAGTACTACAGAAAGCTCCAGCACCTGTGYTGGACGACCTTTCTCAGCCAGCAAGAGATTCGTGGCCCCAGCTCCACAGTATGTGCCATGTCACCAGAGCAATAAGCACGGTCCGATGCTGGTTTTATGAGGGCTGCATAAACCAGCGATGCACAGAGCTCAAATCCAAGCCTTTCATGGAAAAGGTAGGTGGAAAAACAGCGTGCATGAAAACGTTGCCAGTAAATGCTCAGTAATTTCCACAGTGGAGGTGKCTGAGCAGCCCCCACACTCTGAAAATACTACATAATGCATGAGTGCTTTCTGGGGCTTTGCACGTACTCTTCAGAGGCGCGAGAGTGGCTGTTTTAGGAAGAGATCAGACCAAACCTGCCACATGTCTCTTTTTTTTTTTTTTAAATTTTTTTCTCATGTTCCACACAAAGCTGTCTACTGAGTTTCTTGTTCTACCTTTTTGCTAGCCTTTGCCAAAGCAGCCCTCCAAAAMGCCATCCACTCAAAATGTTATGGTTAAACAAGCAGGTGTTTCGTAGCTGCATAAAGGCTCTACGAATACATAGGATGAACTGACACGGTCACCTGAGTACATTTACTCTGTTTCAGGTTTCAGAAATAGTAAACACCATGCAAGTCCAGATTAGTTATGTGTCCTCAGGCACATGAGCTCCTTGTTTGCATTTTTATTCTTCCATTTCATACCAAATAATGAGTTCGCATCCTCCAAAGCTCTAAATAATTCAGGCAGTTGGACCTGTTCACAAGAAGAGACTTTTATGCAGTTTTGAAGATGAACATGCTCTGTGGGAGCAAAGACTCATCCGGGCTGAAGTTGCTGTTGCTCTGCTCAGAGAGCAAATAAAAAGTACAAAAGGACTTCTTAACCTTGCAGTTCCTCAAATCTTCTGTGTTCTTGTTTATTTACTACTGAAGATGGTAACAGCCTGAAGCTTTTTGGCTCTTGCTTTTTCCATTCCAGGATCATTGTTTTCAAATGTATTTGGCAAGAAATACATTGGCCCCGTGACATCAATTTCATTCCGATAATCTATGTCTGATCATTTGAGCTTGCTGCACTTAGGGTTACGTTTCCACTCGCTTGTTTTAGGGTCACGAGCGACACTGGAGTCCCCATTGAGTCCCGGTTCCTGAACAGRGGCAGCACGAGCTCAGCAGAGCTTGCTGTGCACGGCCGTCGCTCCCAGCAGGGCCTCAGCTTTTCCATTTGACACCAAACAGGCGCAGTGGATAGAGGTGCTAGCCTCGTCCTGCAGCTGGGGACAGGGCACATGTTGACCCCTGTCCCCAAACAATCTAACCAACCTCCGTGATTTTCACTTCTCAAGCAGGTCCGCTGATGATAGGTGCGGTTGCAAGTTATTTTCCATGCAACCACTCACAAAGACTTGGAGTCCCTTCCAACACAAGGGACTGTACTGAAGGGCAGTGAAGGATTCATAGCACACTGAGCTGATGGAGATGGTGCAGGGTTAGCAGAAAGCTGAAATGGTTTTCTTTTCCTGACAGGGTAATGGCCAGTTTAATCTCTCAGCTGGAACCTGGATCTTTGCTCTGTCACAGTGGAAGACAGGGTAGAAGAGGCCTAGCAGCAAGTCCTTCTACCAGACGTTAGATGTTTTTCAGTACCAAGGTCTTTGCAAAATTATGAACTGTGCTTAATGCATGAAAAAAAGGCAATGACTCACGAAGTAGCGAATAAAGCTGTCTAGCACAGGGAGCCTGCTTCCCAAAATAAGAATCCCAATTAGGAGAAAGCAAGTGCATTTCTGTGGTGACCACTTCATCATGCCTACCCAAACAGCAGCACTTGGCTATCCAGGACTAGCTGACAGCACAGATCACAGCTGTACAGCACTGCTGACACTGGATTTCAATCATGGGGGAAGCCTGGAAAAGATTATTTTGCTGCAGAAGTTGAAACTCAGACAATCTGAACTGCAACTGCTTTGAGTACATTTCTGCAAAGCTTAACTAACAGTTTGCTCAAGTGTTCTTGAAAACGAGGAATGAATGATCTGAAAATTAATTTCTTATCAATGGTTCCTCTAAAAGAGTTGGCCTTCCCGTGATTACAAGTCAAAAGATCATATAGTGCATCAAAGAACTGAAGTTTCTCGAAGTGCAAAATGGACAGGGGCTTTGGATAARAGTATACAGTGCTTTGCAGGCCCTGTCTCTGCATACAGGAACCACATCCCTGTAATTCCTCCCTAGTGACGTGTCCCTGATTCCACCTTCTGTGAAAATCTGAGTTTTGCTSGGAGTTTCACATTCCCACTCACCGGGATGAAGCATTCTTGAGGGTGGAAGTGGTCAACCTTGGATATCAACCTTGGATATCCAGCTTTCTTGGACCCCTCCTTGCATCTAGGGCCCAATTGCATGAGATTTTTCCAAGCATGTCCCTTAAGAGGCCTGAGTTTTCTAAAGTCAAAGGTTGCGGCTCTCTTCTTTCTCCTGCTCTCTCCTTGCAGAATCCTGAACTCCACCATATCACGGTTACTGCAGCCAAGGCTGCTCCTGGTCTTCTCCTCCACAAATCCTTCCCTGTTCACAAGCTTTGCTGGATCTCTCCTCGATGGCTCCTCTCTCTTTTATATCGGCAATCCTCCCCAGGCCTCTCCTGGATTGCTTGTGCTCTGCTCTGCTGTCCCTCCAGCAGGTACCAGCTGTAYACCACATGGCTGTTAAAGTCGCCACCGAGGCCAGGGCTTGCAAACCTGAGGCCACTTCTAGCTGGCTGCAGAAGGCCTCATGCACTTCCTTTTCTCATCAGTTGGYCTACAGCAAATACCCACAGCAACGTCACATGCCTTAATCCTAACCCCAAAGTTCCCCGTGGATTCCCCTATCACTAGGCWGAGGTCCATGATGTGTTTTGGCTGCTCTCTCATATAAAGGAGTTCCCCCCATCCTCTCCTGCTCAGCCTGTCCTTCCTAAAGGGCCTGTGCCCATCCCCTGCAGCATCCCATTCGTGAGCCATCCCACCAGTTCCAGTGATCCCAGCAAGATTAGAGGCCTGCAGCTGCACTAGGATGTCCATTTCCTCCTGTTTACACCTCATGCTGTATGCATTAACATACAGCACTTCACAAGAGCATCCAAGCATGCTCTTTTCCCAGAAAAGATATGCAATTACAGGATATTTCCCATACTATTATCTTGTAGGGATTTCCTTGCTTACATGCAAAAGCTTGAGGTGTCCCCACTTAAGCTGTGTTTTGCTGATTGTTCCCTTTCGCTCACATCATCTGGGGCCTTTGCTCGTCAACCCTGTCCATCGCTCCCTCACATTGCTGCAGGGTTTGAGTCACTTATTCATGCGAGGAAAAAAATACTAATTCAAACAYGGTTGGTTCCTTAACTCTCAAGATGCATTTCTGTGTTCTGATATCAAAAAAGGTGTACCATCACAAAAAAATACAAGCAAATAGTTAATGAAAGCTACACATATTAAATTTTGCAAACATCTCCATTGGCAGATTGTTCCTGAAAAAATAAATATGCAGACAGAGCTTCCAGCAATTTCCAAAAAGAATGTTTTTCCATGAACAGACAAAATAGATATGAAGTTTTTTTTCCAGGACATAAGATAGGCTGGACACAGCTATAGAGAAAAAAAAATAGAACAAAAAGAGATTGCTGTTTGTTTAGTAATAATTCAGGAACTGGAAAAGGGAGATCCAATTTTCTGCTTCTGGCAAGACAGAAAATACAGAACCTGAGAGGCCACAGGGCATGTACACGGGAAGGAGATGTGGAAGAGCCTAAACACAAGGAAAGAGCTGGAAGCATCTCAGTGCATTTTATATAGGTGAAAACCCAGCCAGCGGCTGCTGATGGGTAGCTTATATAAGCTGGAAAGGCAGCGTTGTGTGCCACCTCGTGTCTTCTTTGGGATGCGCATTTGGAGCAATGACGCCTTGTCCTCAGGTACCCAGGCACGGCGGGATGGAGAGTTCTTGTGCTCTTTTTGTTCTCCTTGGTCTAAATTTAGCATCAGTCATTGTGACCAAGTCGCTTCTAAGACGTACAGGGTGAGCGAAATAACCGCGATGTCCTAAAGCTTCCTGGCTTTATGGCAGTGCAAAGTGATGAATGTAAGGCAGCAGGAATCACCTCAGGCAGGTGGCACAGCAGCCACGTGACACCCACGGCCTGCAGCTCCAAGCACCTGTGGACACCTCACGGTGCCGAGGAGCTCTGAGTGACAGACGGCAACACTTCACGTACCTTCTAAATCCAAGCAACCAACACAACAGATTCACACTTGCTGAAGGTCAAGATATTGCACTGCGTCAACTCACAGTGCCAAGGGCCGGAGGAGAACACACYGGGTGCTCATTTTGACAACTGTTGCGTGTTGCAGTAACATGTTAAGCATGACAATCCCAAAGCAAGATGAGCATTTGTTATGCAGGGATCTTCCCGAGTTCCAATACCAACCCTGCACACCCTCCTCACAACTGCAAGTTAACTAATTCTCACCACGTGTTACTGTGATGTCTATGGAGGCTCTGTTCACCAGCCTTAGCTATCTACTAAGAACCAGCACTTCATTCAGATCTGAGTTCACTATCCTACGAATGTGGTTATTCCTTTAAATCACAACTGGGACCAAAAGACTTGAGCTCAGAAACCGAACAGCACCTGCAGGGATAAAAACAAGCAACGCATGGGCAGTCTCCTCTCCAACTCTGGGAGACAATTTCTTGACTGAAGCAACTCCTCTTACAGATCACCTGCTTTGGAAAGGGCCTCTCACCTGAAAGACCAGCAGCTAGCTGGGGTGCAGAGAAAAAAATCAAAAATCCTAAAGCAGAGCTCTATTTTTGTCAGGGTGGTCAAAGTATTCAGACATCACAAAGGGCACAAAACTGTCTTTTTAGGACCTTTCTATAAAGAAGGGATAATCACCAAAAGCACAGCACATGGGGCTCAGTATGCAGACATAAATTTGCAGTAGTAGAATTGAAAGGAGCATTTGGACAGCTCCATAAGAGCACATATATGTGTGTGTGTGTGTGTGTGTGTGTGTGTGTGTGTGTGTGTGTGTGTATATGTATATAAAAAGATATTTACTTGCTAAATCAGAATTCTAGGAAGAAGTTTCAATTTTAGTATCCAAACGGTTCCCTTAAATATTTTAATGGTTCCCTTTCTGTTGGGTACCATGGCTCAGGTATTACTTATACTGCGTTGTGCCAACTACGTAGGCAAATAGTGCAGTTAGTCCCAGTCCTCCCCTGCAGCCCTGTGTTCTGCAACATGAGAGATGGACAGCTACTCAGCCCTGCTCGGCTGAGGGACATCTTTCAAGCATTCCAGATGCCTCCTCTCTCCTGTGTTCCCAACTGTGTTTCGAAAATGGCAAAGCACCAAGACACGGACTAAATGGTTGTCTCGCTTCCTGTTTCTCCCAGCCCACGCTTCTGCTACCTCTTCTAAGTTCTGCTGTTCAGCAGATGGTTCTCAGAGTCAGCACAACCTACACATTGGGCAGAAAATTAACCTAGAGGTGGATATGGCAGGAAAGGAGAGTTTTCTGCAGGATCTGTGAGCTGAACTGGCTCATGCAAGGGTAAGGATGGCATGGGACTGGGCAGCAGCAAGACCCTTTAGTACRAGCTTGAAGAACTCTGCCAAGTCTTGGTTCTTTTAAGTATCTTTCATCACTCAAGTACGGTACACAGACATACTGGAAAACTGACAGCACAGCCTGCACAAGTCCTCTGAGCAGTGACAAGACAGKGGTTTAAGACATGAGACTAATGGGTCTCTATAGAAAAGCAGTGAGGTGAGTACTCTAGAAACACCACTGTTTTGGTACATGTGCATACATAAGCTCTCAGAAAAGTAGTAAAGCTTTTAGRGCTCTCAAAAGCAAACACACTTTCTAAGGTTAAGGAACTTAAAGCTTGTCTGAAAAGCAATAGTCAAAATGGCTGTGCATGAGTATTTCATAATCATTGATTYCAACTCCCAGATAAAGCTGTCTGTAAAGAATGTCCTTCCAGTTCATTCTGGGGTTGATTTTTCGAGCTTGCAAATCACTGCAATAAAGACCTCACAGCTGGAACTCATGAACATCTGTCAACAACACACAAATGTGAACAGACTGCAGCTCACTGTGCTACAGATGTAGTGGCTTTGCAGGGCAACCTCTGACAAAAGCTCATTTCACTCAGCAATCAGGCAGCCTGAGCACTGAACAAAGACAAGCAAATAGGGACTAGTTACTGTTTCCTAGCAGAAATGCACTGAGGAATCTGGAAATATTCACAGAGGACAACATTGTAGCTGTTAACTTCTGCCTATCACGAGGCACAATACACAAGAAAACAATAGCCAAAAGGAAAGGAATTAGCTTGAGTGCTGAACACTAGAGAGACAGAAAATATCCTGTTTCAGCATCAAAGGCTGCAACACACTTATCCATAATCCCTGTAGCACGCGTTGCCTCCAAGCATTGTGCTCAGCTCCACCTCCACTGCCCTCCCAYGGATCACGTGCCCATAGGAAGCAGACCCTTAAAGAGGGATCCCAAAGTACATGCTCTATCTCAGGTGGTGTCACCTAACATGACATTTTAAGAGATCCAAAGAAACCTGACCAAATGCTATAGCTGGGCCTGTCTAACATTCATGTGATRCCTGGGCTGCAACAAAACAGAAAGGATGGCTTAGTAACGTACAGTTCGTAGTTTTGATCTTCTGTCTCTTGCTGCACTGACAGCTCCTCCAAAGTTGCATCAATATCCAGCTGATTCGTCTCCAGCTGCCGTAGCAACGTCTCCCTCTGAGGAAAGGAAAACAAGCTGGGTCTGAGCAGGAAGGCTCATTGTAACAGATCTCTGTGTGCTTGCAGGGTGCAGCGAGATCTTGTGTCACAACTCTACCCACAGCAATGAATTAAACAGGAGCTTTGGCCCAAGGCAAGGAGTTCAGCTTAGGTACAGAAGCACAATGGAAAGCAGAAGCAATAACAAAAATATGTTAACCCAGAAAGTAAGGGGGTAAGAAAGCAACCTGTTCGGAGAGCTGTACTATATYGGGACACAAATAACAATGTGATTTTCAGACTCAAGATCTCAAGTTTCATTTGGAGAACAACTGCACGATTGCTGTCTGCAGTGGTTGGCACCATTTCAACTCTGAGCTTCTATTTTTTACCTAGAGATAAAGGAGTCTAAATGGGAGCAGGACTCAGCTGACTCAGAACCTCACAACTGTTTTCTTTCTAGTGGCAGAGGCTGAGGAGTCACCACAGTCTGATCAGTTCTGTGCAATTTTAGAAGCTGCTGCCCTCAGCCTCCAGTTACTGCCCCAGAGACCCCAGTTCATTTCAAATGTGAAACGCAAMGTTTTAACTTAACCCACAGAAAAGTGTGGCTTAATCTGGTCCTTCATGTTCCACATTTCCAAAGATTTCCCAACAGGTACTTCAACTGAGGGGCTGTGACGTCTTAGAAGGCTCTAAATCAATTGCAATCAGCCCYTGGACAACCCTCCTGGCTAGTCCAGCTGGCAGCAATAAGAGATCAGTAACTACCTAGGAGGYTGCATTACTATTAAAATTCCAAGCGGCTTCCCTGTGATGGTTCCCCAAGGAAAGTGCTACTAGCATCATCAGTCCCTTCCCCCTGCACGGCAAGGACCTACGTTCCCTACAATGCTGAAGCCGCAGAGCCAACGCCGTGGCCATTTCCCCAGGAACACAACTCGGGAGCTCCTGGCCAGAACGAAACCCTTCTGTTTCCTAGGCCCTGCTCAGGGCTACAGCTCCTGTATCACAGCCCTTCCACATCCTCTCAGAAAGACCYAATACTGTCCCAGCTGACCCCTGGCCAGGGCCAGAACGGGATGGAGCTGCTTCGCTGTGACCTACCATGCCCGGCACACCAATGTTCCATTTGCCATCCCGGGAAGGCCTTGAGCTAGGAAAACAAGCCCATTCACACCCCAAATTCATGATGCTCAAGGAAAGTGTCAGCCCTCCCTCTGCCACTGACTACAGACTGGATCACATGGGAAACACGGGAAAATAAACTCGTGGTCAAGCACATCTGGCACAGCAGGGCCCACCAGCGCCAAGGCCTGATGAGCTGCTCCTCCATCCAGGCTGCAGGCAGCCTCAGGAAATGCCCAGAAGAGAAATTTCACCTCTCCCCCAGACTGCAAAGGCTTTGGCTGTTATGACTGCCTCATCCTCAACACTGCTTGGCATTATCCCCCATGATAACTGCTTCTGGAAGTTTAGCATCGAAAGCCATGGTGAATTTTTAATTACACATATATGAGCCTGTTCACATATGTGAACAGGTATGCTCACTGCAAAAACAAAAACCAAACCAAACAAACCCAAAGCCTCTTACACTAAGACACACAGAAGGAAACCTACTCCATTATTTACAAAATAAAATCCTTACGGGAAAACAAACATTTGGATAAAGGAATGGAGTGTTGTTTCKATGGTAAGTGCAATATGGTTTCATACACATGACAACTTTGGAGCTACAGAAAAAAGAAAATAACTTATAACCCAATTAACTCATGTGCATTTRTACAAACCACATCAGGCTCTCCAGAGGAGTAAGTAGTTAGAGCACAGCTTGAACTTTCTATGGAACACACTGATTTACATTAAATTTCACCATGATGTAAAACAGCAATCAAGGTTTACATAACTTTTATTTTGTATTACACTTTTAAGACCAGATTCATTGATAACCATTAACACATGCTAACTCACAGGCAGCTACAACCTCTCTCAAAATCTAAGTACTTCTGTGATCATCTAAGCTAATTTACAGCTTAGTAGGCATTCTACTTCATTTTTAAACTGCTTGTTGTGTTTCATCATGCAAAGAGCATGAAGTGACCCATTCTTCCTTTGCTAGGCAATTTTTATTCATCATATTCATAAGCTCTGTGCAGATGCAAATTTGAATTAAAACACATACAAAGAATTATGAAGTCTTTAGCTAACTCAAATTCCCTTTATTGTTATATACAGATAAGAAACTGCAGCAAAACATGTTATACATATTTAAACTTGTTTAGTTAAAGAGAAGTACTAACGTGTAGTTAGTGATTTTAAAGTATTGTTGTACCGTCTCTGTATCCGTCCACATTTCAGAATAGGTTTCACCCTTTTAAATTTTATCAGACAATGGAAGTAGAAACCAGAGAAGAAAAAGACACGTTTTCTGCTGCTTTGTCCTCAATCAGTTTGCAAATTAAAGTGAAATAAATGCTGATCAAATCAGTTGAATAAACAGAGAGGAGAGACTGCTCTCAAGTGCTTATCTTAGGGATCTAGATGGAGGCCTTTTATCCAGCAAGCCGTTTGCCTTCCCTCATGCTTTGGTAGCAAGACATGTACTAATCAGAGTTTTACTGGCTTTACTTTTCACAGACTACAATAAATTTGAAGCCTGGATTCAATCATGAGTAGGATGTATCTAACTTGGCAAAAAAATCAGTTCTAATAATAGACTGAAATATGAAGTTAAAAATCTATTTTTGACATGCTGATATTAAAATATTAAAGAAACATCTTATTTTTAGCAATGGCCCAAAAGAACGGAGAAAACCGCATGCCACCGACCAACGCTCTGGCTGAACGCCACTTCCAAACGCTCTCTGGGAAAAGGCTATTTCAGCTGTCTGCCAAATTCTGTCTCCTTCCAGTGAAGGCCTCTGCAGACCTGCTGATCCGATCACATTAGCACGTTATGTGGGCCACCAGCAATACCCAGGGCTTTCTTGGGTCTCAGAATCCTCCCCCTGCTACCAAACTGATAAATAATTGAGTTGCCTGGGTGGCTGGGGGAATGGCTTTGTACTGCAGGTATGAATTTCACCCACCGCTTTCTCAATGAAAGATGCATGAGCCTGTGCTGCACACAGCAAAGTGCAACTTAAAACCGATGCACTGAGTGCCAGCGCTGCTGAAGGACATGGTGGCATCTCACACACAGCTACCAACTCTACTCGCCCTCGAGGGCTGCAGCAGATGAGGCTGAGAAACACAGAGAAACTGCAGAAATGGACTGAGACTGCATAAATCCTATGTGCAGTTCTGGACTCCCCAGTATAAGAGGGACGTGGAGCTTCTCGAGAGGGTCCAGAGAAGRGCAACCAGGATGATTAAGGGAATGGAACATCTCTCGTAYGAGGAGAGGCTGAGTGAGCTGGGCCTGTTTTCTCTGGAGAAGAGAAGGCTGAGAGGGGATCTGATTAATGTGTATAAGTTCAGGAAGGGAGAATGCAGGGAAGAAGGGGACAAGCTGTTCTCACTGGCGGCCAGCGATAGGACGAGGGGTAATGGCCATAAGCTGGAGCACGGGAAGTTCCATCTCCAGGTGAGGAGCAACTTCTTTACTGTGAGGGTGACAGAGCAGTGGAACAGGCTGCCCAGGGAGGTTGTGGAGTCTCCTTCTCTGGAGGTCTTCAAAACCCGCCTGGATGCCACCCTGTGCCACATGCTCTAGGTGTGCCTGCTTGAGCAGGAAGGTTGGACTAGATGATCTSTAGAGGTCCCTTCCAACCTTAAATATTCTGTGATTCTGTGAACATCACTCAGAGTCCCTTTCCTCTAACCTTACTTTGTGCAAAGTGCTAAGCAAAGGACTCCTTTTTAGGGGTTGTTACTAGCAACTGCCTTTGAAGGTATGAACAGTACCGTGAGGAATTGGATCTAGTTGTGTTTCCTACACCTTTTAACTTGCTGCACTGCTTGGCAATAGGGCCCAGAGAAGCAGCTCTGCCTCCCAGCGCATTCAAAGYCACACTTGCAGCTGCAACGGGAGCTGCAACACGCCCAGAGCCACCAAATCAGCAGGTACAGAATAGCCCTGAGCTCTTCTAATAAACATGTATCAAAAATGCAAGTGGCACTGGGAAACAGAGCAAACTTGGTTGAAGTCTGACAGCAAGCAGAGCTTCTACGGCCTGCCTGGAAGAAGCTGATGGCCTTCAAATCACTGTCTTCCTCCTCAGGAAATAGCAAGGGCAGACACCTCCTTCCTCTCAGAGGAAAGCATCTTTGTATCTGATCCCATCCTGTCATTTGAAAMAGAATGTATGTAAAAGCACTTGCCTGAAACCCAGGTATCAGAGCTGTAGGAATTAGTTTGGGCTGCACTGTTTTAAAGCAAAGAGCAGACAGCTACGTTCTGTCTCTTCCTGAATGACGGGCATTAGGACAAGCTCATCAATTGCCACCTTTTTTGTCAAGATAGCAAGAACATAGGGCAAACATATTTGCACACGTCATTCACATGTATCCACCCAAACCTCCTCTTGTAACTCAGGGGAACTGAACAGYTCCTTGGAAACTCTTTTCAATTTTCTTTTGTGAAGGGCCAATCCCACCTGTGGCAACTGCACCTTGCATTCTGGACTACCTCCAATGCCCATGGAACAGGAGAATAAATGCAAGCTGGTCACCCCACTTCCCTCACCTTCCCAAGTGGCAGTAACTGGAGTCTCCAAGCAACTAAAAGTTACATCAGATTTATTTTCTGATGTTCCTTACGACCGAGATTTGTCCGAGAAGTTCTCTGGATTTGGGGTTGATTATCTTATCTGAAGGACAACACTTGCAGTTTTCAGACTGGCACATTTTGTTTAATTATTTGCAGCACATTTCAGTGAAAGGTCACCTATGAATCTCYTCCTAAAGCTGTTCCCAAACAAACCCAGAACCACAAATGCCTCAGTATGGTTATGATTATACTTAGGAAAATCACTGCATATATTGACCATTAACAGTATCGCTTTGAGTGGCTTTCAGACACAAATCTGGTAGGAAGACAGTACTAATGTCTTTGTCTCCTCTCAACATCTRTCTGAGAAGAAAGAGAAAGATGCACAAAACTACAGTACAGAAATGTCAGATTTCTACAGCTTCCTCCTCCAAAAATTATTCAATTTGCTTCACTAGGTTGCTGCATCTTAAGGTTTCTTACCTTAGTGCTTTCTAAGGCATCCGTTCTGCATACCAAAGATGTGGTAATATCCACTAATACATGTGAGCTTATTCTGAACTTTCAGAAGTATTTCAGCAAGGATTATTCATATAAAATACACACAGACATTTCACCTTCCAGTGAAAGACAACCAAGGTCAACTGCCTGATTTTTCATGCAATGAAAATCCATGACACAAAAGTACAACCCCTCACAAGCCCACTCAATTCCCTCTGAAGGACCACGGCTACAAATGTCACCCTTTCTTGCCCAATGAACTTCTGTGTCTCCACTCATCCTACCCAAAGGAGGTTCAATTGTACAAAAGAAACCTGAGACTTGAATGTATGTGTACAGGATTCAAGCAGATCAGTTACCATCCACCTCGGGGTAATGATTTTCAGAAAACAGTTGTCCTTGAGCTGTTCATCTTGTTAGCAAGTCTTTCCTTAAGTCAGTTTTAGATGACTGGTAACATGAAATTTAAATATAAACTTTAATACATATCTGGATGTAACATATTGTACCATAGCACTGAATGCAGTTCTCTTGCCCATGATATTTACTGCTTTGGGAACTTTCTGTAGAAGTGGGCATTTGTGAACACAGTAAAAAACAGTCCTTGCACAAGCAGACACATGTCTAAGTCACTGACATCAATGTATTAATATAATTTTGTTGACTACATGTTCATGAAAAGAAAAATCTATTCAGGATCCTTGAACAATAATAATTTTATATATATATAAAATCAAATCAGGATYCTTTAACAATAATATTTTATATATATAAATAAAAAAAATCCAATCCCCACCTGAGAAACAGGGAAGACAAACTCCTTCCACCCACCCATCCTCAGAGATATCCTCTTTTGCTTACCTGCAGCTGTAAGAAGGGGATGTTGAAGAATTTGTGCAGGTACTTGAGGCCAAAGCTATTCTTCATGGAAGACTCAGCATACCGAAAATATGAGGAGCCAGGTGGTCTGTCTCAAACAGATAGGCAGGGAGAAGAAAATTGTACAGAGGACACGGACTGCACACACATACTTGCTGAATTATGTACCAGGCGCAATCCCCATCCACACGCCAGCCCCGCAGCCCCAAATGCTGGCAAGTGTTCTGCTAGAGACTGATTCTTCGGTTTACAAAGAAAATTCAAATTTTGCTTCTCCTGAAAGGTGGCAGAAAAAGCCAGAATGAAGCTGCTGCTGTTCACGGCTATATAGGACCATTCTTCAGTCAAGATTTTGTTTTAATACCACAAACAGACGTAAATTAAGTCACCTACTCAAGAATTGGCTTTGGGAATTAAACTTGCCAAGTYAGGCAGAGAAATAAACCTGTAAAAAAATGGTGTTACTAAATTGAGCCGCAAAACTGTGCCGTTTGCATGTGCCAGATACATGCATGAACAAGCAACAGACTGAAAAAAGATTATAACCACACACTTGAAAACATAAAACAAAAGAGGTATAATCTAATAAATCCTTGCCAACAAATAACATTTAAAATAATAGAGACCTTCAGATCCCAATTTAAGGGAAAATTTTGCTGGGCTGGCCAGGGAGAACGGTTTGGCTGTGCCAAAACAAACAGTAACTGTTGCAAGAAGACGCTCTTCGAGGAAGAGCGAGGATCACAGCTGCACTCGATGCCTGTCTTGCAGCAAGATTGTATAGAGAATAGCTGGGTTTCAGGGGGATTTCTTTTGCAAGACAAGGACTATCCAAAAAGAACACGATCTYTTGGGCAAAACAGCTCTGAAAGATACGTGCTGGCAGCCACTAACTGGGGATGACTGTGATGCACATCAGAACCACAGTGGTGATAATGTTTTTTTGTGGTTCATGACAGAGAGCAGCTCCCTGTTTGGGGACGGTGGTGCCACCCTCGGTTACCTGTTCAGATTGTCGATGAAGTCCCGCACGTCGCCAGGCAGAATGACCCGGTGCTCCCCCATGTCACGGTAATTCCCAAGCACGCACACTGGAACGTGGGTCGGCACTTTGGGAAGTTCCCTCAGGATATAGTTAAATGTCCTGCACCAGAGGAGAACCAGACAGAAGCAAATGGGGGAGAAATAGATCATTCTGTGAGCAGCTTCATCGCACGAAACCACAGAAGGAAAAAAAAAGAAAAAAAAAGAATTACACAGAAAAGAATTTCAGAAATCTTTCCAAAACTGTTGATTCTTTGCCCCTCTCAGAAGAATACATTAACTGTAAATACAATTTACCAGTCTTTAATCAAAGGCAACTGAAGTTCAATGCTCCACTGCTCCTAGAGACCGAGCAACTCCTGCCATAACCTTTCTCTCAGACTGGGTGAGGGCAGCACAAGCAGAGGTCCCTTGCTTCTGCTGGCACCAGGCTCACTGGCCCATAAGCAAACCAGTAAAACACAAGCTCAGATATACAGAGGCAGCCAAGTCCTCAACCCCTCCGGCTTCTACACATTCCCCATCCTCTCCATCAGAGATGCAAAATAAATAGCTCATTATTTCTATATATGTATGCAATTTATGGCCTCTACATAATCTGTAGCAGTACCTGTCTTCTTGGGAATTTCCCCACTGTTCACTCGTCTTTCCCTTTCCCTTCTGCTCTGTCAGTCTGGGGATTTATAGAGCCCAGCACACTCTGCATCTGCGATAGGGCTAATTATCAAGTCTCAGAAGCGGAGTAGCAGGAACTGCAGGCCACAATCTCCCAGGGAAACTACTTGCTCAAAATATGCCCAAGAGGGGAGTGTATTAAAAGACATCCCAGAAGATAAAGCTGTTATTTTAAATGGTACAAAACCAGCTTCAGAGGCCAGCAAGTCTCAGAGGGCTTTTTCTTTTTTTCTTTTTTTTTTTTTTTTTTTTGTGATTAAACATGGGGGAGCTGGATTGCATACAACCCAGGTGATGTCTCACCACTGTTTGGTGATGTCAAACATCATCACAACACCATTGCAGTTCTTATACACGTCCAGAAACTCTGCGTCCAGAGCCATTTCTGACTCTGCCTGAGGAAATAAAGGCAAAAGAGGCAGTAAGTACTTGACTTGGCTTCTGGTTTGCACACAATACCACAAATACAGTGTTGAATAGGCAAAATTCCTGAAGTAACAGACACTATAAAGGTATCACTCTATTTCACATCAATATCATTTAAACAGTGTAGCTAGTGGTTTCACTCCCTATGGGACAGGATGTGAAGGACATGAAATTCTCTGGAAGAAAAGCACATCTGCAATTGCTAAAACCCACCCTCGCTCTTCCCTCCATGACACCAAATATTTTCTTGACAACATAACTCCACATACAGCTAGAGGATACAGCAGACAGCACACGGCACCCGCTCTCTTTCTGTGGATAAATACTGACTCTGCTTTGAATGCTTCCAACCCATAAAGCCAAGGTCTCCAATCTAATAAGTTTCTCTGTAGCTAAAACATTTAGTAGCCAACTTTGCTTTGCATCATCTGTAATTTTGCAAAATTCAGTACTGCTCCCTTGTCTACCAGGCTCCTGCTTTTTGGTGCCTATGGAACAGCACTCGTCTCTTTCCCCTGAGCAAAAAACGCACCCATGTTTGCAAAGGGGGAGGCAACTGTGCAATAACTGCTTTTATTGTTCTCCTCCTGTGGGAAAAGGCAACATTTTTAAAGAAATTCTCCTCATCTGACCCCACAGATTGAGGAGGACTTGCCCCTTGGACAAAGAGACACATTCACTGCCCTGAACAGGCCCTTGAAGAAGAGTGCTCAGCGCTTTGCACATGAGTGATACTGGCTCTCCTTCCACGTGGAAATCAGCCTGTTGACTCCGTCCACGCTATGAAGCCCAGAGGGCACTGGCACAGCAATCAGAGCAATAAAGCTCTTGAATAGCTGCACGAGAAATCCCATGATCAAGGGCCTTTAAATTGACTTTTCCTGAGGATAAAATAGCCCAGCTCTGAAAGAAGTGCTCTGGAAGTGCATCAGCAGCTCAAATGCAATTTGGGGAATGCGGCTGCAAGCACTTTGTTCTGCGGCAGAAGATCCATAGGACACACCTTTGTGCAGGAGCCACAAGGAACCACTGTTTACTTTGACATCCTGCCTAGCACTTCTGTTGTCCCTTCATCTTCTGCCTTCCAGGGAGTGTTAAAAGGTAACAGTTAGTCTAGTTTTAAGGAGCAGCCAGAGAGCATGGCTTTAATTTGTTCAAGGCTCATGGCAAATCCTTTACAAAAGGCCTTCCTGACACTGCTTGTGGAAACAGGTACAGAACTACAGTGTAACTACCTGGGGTGTCTCATTCCCAGAAGACCGAATGGAAAACAGCAGAAGAGAAGTGGGGCGGGCATGGACAGGGAGATAAAACAGACAGGCAACAGAGCGAGGAATGTCTGGCATCTCCCTGCTCTCACCCAGCTGCCTGGCCAACCTCAGAGCAGACACATGCAGAAACCATCAACCAAAGTGCAAAGAGAAGCCTCCCCTTAAGAGGGCAACATCTGCACTCCAGGTGACTCACCTCTTGCGGATCATTCTCCAGCTTCAAACCATCTCCTCGTTTTTTGCATTTCCCTTAAAAAGAACAGTTGCAAAAGACAAATGCATTACATGGGGCAGAGACTCTTAGCTTGGGTCTGTCTCCAGGGACAGGACCGTGGCATTTTGCACACAACCTTAAAGCAGATCCAACTTCTACCACAAGCATGTGGAATATGAGGGGAGGTGGGAGACGCCTTGATGAGGAAAACCAGCTAATATGGTCAAGGCAAACGGGTACAGAAAGTCTGTGGCAGCTTGAACAGAACTCTTCACTGCATACAGTCATGATAACTGAAGAATATGGGTTTGAGCACTCTCTGACCACAAGTGGAGCTGCTCTTCTCCACTTTTTGTTGCTTTAGTGTTGACGAACCAAAAGATACTGAGGTTGTTACAACTGGAGTGCYGCACTTTATACACGTTGTCCTGAGACATCCCCGCTGAGCAACTCCACCAACCTGAAGTGAGCAGCCTTGCAACCAAACGTGCCCTCTAAGCCCCTTAGGTGCTTCGGGCGGACTTAGGAGCTGCCCTCAAGAAAGTGCAGGAGGTGACGTGCTAAATGCTCGGGGGAGACGCTAGAAACATCCTGCAAAGAACTACCCTGCTGCCCAGGGTCCACAGTCCCATCTACAGGGACTCGTAGGTGGCTCTTCCACTCACGCATCTCCTCTGTAGCGTGCATGCACTAAAGTACTGTTAGGTTTAAAGGACACCTTTCTGCTCCTGAACAAAGTGACCTTATAGGAAATCTTCTTATTTTAAATGGTCAAAAACTATTTAACTTCAAATATACAAGTAACAAAAATACCAAAACCAAAGTGGCCACATATGCCCCATAGGCACATTTGTATTGCAGGAAGGGATCCAGCTCCAATAGCAAGCCAAAATCCAAGCCAGGTTGTATTTCTTTTGCCTTCAGCTTGGCACTCTGGCATGCCAGCACACTGCTAGATAGCTGGGGGAGGGTGGCCATGCCTCTGAAATGCAGCAAAAAAGGCCAAGAAATCTCCTCGCAGCACATTACTYCTGGCTATAAGATGCTCTGCCAGCCTCAGCGGCTTCTCGAGAAGTGGGAAATAAAAGGAGACAGCTAAACATATACAGATTGTACCACTAAAAGAGYCAGTCCCTCCAAACAGTCTGTAAGTAGCTGCATGCTGAAGCTTTCCCCTTGTTTTTACAGCTTCAGTAAGCTGGATAAGTCCAGGGATGGATAATTTAAAGCATCCACATCATCAGGCTCAGCACCCACAGAAAAGGAGGCAGCGGTTTCAACCTCGGCACGGAGCTTTCAGCCTCCCTGCACATTTAGCATTTTATCAGTTATGTCTAATCGTGCTGCCCAGTCTCAAAGCCTGCAGGCACAGTGGGCAGAGCACCAGTGATTTCGTACCTGGGACTTGCAGAAGGGCAACTGGCCAATGCCACCCATTTCTGGTGTAGGCTAAGGATCACCAAGAGTCTCAGTAGGCAAGAAAGAGCACAGCTTTCACCCAGCACCAAATAAAGTTCAGTGTGGACATACTGTGAAAAATTTGCACCTCTGGGTGTTTTCTGAACTCACTGCATGCAGCGACTCTCAGACTTTTACCAAATGATTTGTACTGTAGAGTCCTGCAAGGAATAGAGTCATATTTTACAGTCCTCAAATATCTTCCAGGTGTTAAAAGACAATTAAGGACTATACTTCTGAACTTTGCTCTGTAATTTTCTAGTCCCAATACTGGCAAATTAAATAAATTACCATGGGATAGCAGAGATCTGAAATGTCTTCTTGTAACTGCTAGAAACATCTCATCCGTCACAGAATGTGCTTAACAGCTTGGATGAGTTCACAACACGCTTCCACTGACTCTTTAACAAATTATTTGCAAACTGTAGGACAGAAAGCGATTCTTTTCCTATTCAACTCGCTTAATGAAGATGGAGTGACTACTTTTGAAATTCACAGCTCTGGTAAATATAAAGCAACAGAGAAAAAAAGTGTTTCTTTTTGCAAGCAGGTCATGGATAAATGGCAACAAATCTGAAAGCTATTCTGGAGAGTTTAAATGCTGTAGGGCTTTCATTCTTGAGGAAAATTCACACTAGTTGTTAATACTAAGTATTTTTGCTGTTAGCCATAATTAGGGAGTCGGTCACACTTCTCTTGCTGTACGTTGCAGCCCACATTSAGCTATGATGGTCAAGCTGATCACCTGTTAGCTGTTAAAAAGTCAGTGTCAGCTAAAAAAATGCGAAACAAAAAAAGTTCAGGCATTTTCTTGAAAGAAGCTGTGGCCCTGGACAGTCCTGGCACAGCAGCAATACAAGGACTGCACAAAGTGGCAGTAGATTTCAGCCCTCTTACTCACAGACACTTTCAATGTCATTGCAAAACCACACATTTCTAGAACATTCGCAGCTCTGCTGTCATCTTATTTTTGATAGCTGARAACAGCAGACGTACTAATCCTGATTTTTTCCCTTTCCTGCAGTATACCAGTGACAGAGACAGAGCCCTGATCAGGCTGCCCAGGGAGGTTGTGGAGTCTCCTTCTCTGGAGATCTTTCAAACCCGCCTGGATGCCGCCCTGTGCCATGTGCTCTAGGTGACCCTGYGTGTGCAGGGGGTTGGACTAGATGATCTCCAAAATTATAGAATCTCAGGATTCTATAATTCTATGATAYCCCTCCTGAGGCTCAAGTGTGGACTCTGATTTTTCCCAAGCCGATCGCAGTGGAGGCRGATGCAAGCTGCTCCCCTCTTTGCTTCACGTTGTTTCAAGCCACTGGAACTTGTTTGGCTACTCTGAATCTCAAGATCTCACTATTTCTCCAATTGCTGATAAATTATACTGGACTTGACCTGAGTTTTTAGTATTAAGATAGTATTAAAACCAAAACTCATCAGAGTTTACAGATCTTTCATCCTGAGTAATCAAAGGGACCTTCAAACCTGGACATATCTACAGCTCTGAAACAAAACACACAACTCATACAGCTCTGAAACAGAACACGCAACCTTTGCCTGCTGATGCTTTTGAGCGTGTATCAGGAGCACTGACTGGTATTTYTAAGTGATGCTCATCCATGCTGTAAAGGAGGTCATGTGTAAAGCAGTAACAGAGCTGGAAGGCRCATGTGTGCACATACTCCTGCACAGTGTTTATTTTTGGAACCAGAGCTGCAAGATGGACCAGATAAAGATGTGATACATTGAGCAAAGAGCTGCAGTTCCAGCTTTAAAGGCAGGCATGCAATGAAGAGTGAGCAACCTAGATCATATGATCTAGGTTRTGGTTTTTGGGGTTACAGAAGGTATGGTCCAGGAGCCTCAATCAAAAAACAAAGGTCTTCATGTGGTGTTTGACCAGCACCAATAGCTCCTTATTCGTGGGGACAGCAGCAACTGAAACCAAATAACCTTGCAGCAATGCCCTAAATTCTACAGAAAAAATCTTTTTCCTGAATGCCACAGGACTAGTCAGCTCTTAAAAGCGTTTAGGTTATTTTAGGAGMCACAGAAAAAGAAAAAATGTGACTTGATCCTTTCAGTGAGTGTCTGGGGAAARGTAAGTCCAAACAGCAGATATTACAAGAAGTGAGACCTGAAGTCTTGAATCACCTGAATTCCAAGCACCTCATTTCATTTTACTTCTTTGCATTAAGGATCTAGTTTTATGGCCTGCATCAGTTACACAACTCACTGCAAAGCAGAAAGATGAGTCAGGACTGTGACTTTTGCTGATAGGTATCTTTTCTCTGCACTCTTAGTGCCAAGGGCAGCAAAGGACCACACATCTTGGACAAAATGGAACACAATCTATAGTTGGTGACAAGTCCTCATTAAGATTTTAATAAATGGCATCATTGTGGAGTTGGCTGTGCTCAGASAGCATGGCTGAAGAACCCAGCAGGCTGCAGGTAAGCCTGTCCTCCAGCCACTCTGCACATCAGGACAGAGAAGGGGAGCAGTGTCAGGGTTAGCATGCCCTCCTGCTTGCCTGCATTTACTGCTTTATCAGGTTAAGCTTTCATAACAAAACTTTCCCCCACCTCCGCATTAGCAGCTATATCCTAAACAAGTGACAGCAGGCTGCCAGCCAGGCAGGGCCAAAAAGCTGTTTCCAGCATTCCCGAATCACCTRGGGGGAACCACAGCTGGAGAACTAACCAGGAGGCAAAACTGTTGCAAAAGATTGCTTAGTAAAACCACATTGGTCTTCACTGCAAAAATCTCAGTGAGGTTTTTTAGGGCACTGCGGAGGAAACTCTCCCAAATTCTCCTGTGCACGTTGATATGGAGACATGAGGGTTGAGCACAGCGCAGGGAGCRCGAGCTGCTTTATGAGACTGAAATTGAAATTGCAGTTTATGGCTTTGCTTTTTAGACAGTCTGGCTAAACATCGCCCTCCGTTTCCTGCAAAGTAATATCAGACTTTCAATATAGACTTTCAAATATCTTTATTTAAATATATTTCTCAATTCTTTCAAAAGAGGTGAAACTGGTTAAAATAAATTTAGTCTGGAAAAAAGCACACATCGAAACGCATGCTGAAAACATGTATTTCTGCAGTTTCAAATCCAGCCTAATAAATGCAGCATGCCTCCCAACTCTAAATATGCATATCAGCCAGGATCTTGTAGGAAAGGACAAGAAGAGGATCGGATTTTCTCAGCACTAYGCGGCAGCAGCACTCAATGCTTCACTACCCAAAGTCTAGGCTAGGTTAGTGTCACTCTCACCAAGAGCATCACRCAGGAGGATTTTTTGTCCTAAGCATACAGAAAGAAGAACAAAACTGTCATGAGATAATGTTAAGATGAAACTCAGATAATTAATTATGAATTATGTTAATTGGTACATTCTTGCAAGCTGTATCTATCAAGGATCTGCAATTTTGCATCAGTGGGAAAGAATCTGATTTTGTTTGATCATTGATTGAATACATAAATTACATAAAGATGTACATGTCTGTGGTCCAGAACTAGGGATCTTAACAGACTAAGGTTCATCTCAAATGAATATGAAGTGGAGAGCAAATGGTCACAGATCTCAGACATTTCAATTTTTGACAGTGGGGCATGGATCAGAAGAGCCGTTATCAACATCTGCACATACCAAATCTGATCTATTCTGTTAAAAAAAGACTAAAAAAAAAAAAAAAACAAAAGAAAAAAGAACAAGTCTCTGAGTAGAATCATGGTCTAAAATGCAGAGAAGCTGTTCACAGAAATAAGTGTTGGAAGCACGTGATTCCCAAATCAACCATCAATTCATGCCCAAGTTGCGAGGCAGTGAGAAAACAGATGGTTTTCCTCAGCCTTGCACATGTTATCCTAGGATCTGAAAAACAAACCAGAATCTACCTAACTTCAGCAGCAATCCTGATCTAAGTCAGTTAAACTATACTAAACTAAACTAAACTATCAAGTTTCCATTAATGTAATCATCAGATCACAGGAAATTCAAGCTAGAAGCAAACCTGCAGAGCAAAAATTTGTGAAATCTGAATCTCAACCTCTTTTAGCAACAGAGTCCACCTCTGCACTGCGTTCAGCTTTGCCTTAAGAAATGTCTATTACTGTTAGGAAACAGAACTTTAAAACCTGACAAAGAGTGAAAACTAATGAAAAAAATGTATGAAACCATCTTAACACRTTCCTCAGCTAAGCATTTAGAAAAGATTTAGAATGAAAAATATTGCTTTCTGTTCTAAGTGGATTTATGTAATTAACTTTTCTTTTATCCGTTCCTCCTGTGTACATCAATCACTGCTGATAATATTTTATGAATTTAACAATATTGGTGCTTTCAAAAACAGCACAGCAAGAAGTTTTATAAACAGAACAAAGAACTCAGCAGCCATCTAAACATTTATAAAAATATAAATGGGAAGAAAGGAGCTTTATTATGTAGTTCRAACAATTTAAATACACAAAGAAGCAGGCTACTGCATTCATCACAGAGCATATGAAATATGAAATAACAGAAACCATTCAGGCTCCTGAATTCTGGGTTTCATCTGAAGTTCGAATTGCAAAAAAAACCAAAGGACTCCAGTACAGGAGACTCCTCCCCTCTATCTTATTATTTCAGGAATAAATTATTTCAGAAAGTAACACCCAAAGATGTTACTTTTTTTTTTTTTCCTGAAGAAAGTGCAAGTAAATTTCTAAATTTCCAAATTTGGAAAATACAAATTTTCTGAAGTTCCAAATAAAAAAGTCCAAATAATCTCCATTAAAAAGGAAGTTAAAGATCTTACCTTTGTCGACTACATCCCAGACTTCAACTTTAACGATATCATCAGTGGCTAAAAGCACAAGAACACAAAATGTTAGAAAAAGCGTTTCAGCAAGATGGAGAAGACCTGACCCCCACTACACAACATCTAACCCAAAGCAAATRGTGCCGAGCTAACAAATAACGTCAAAGGAAAGGTAAGAAACTCCCCAGCAACTTAGAAAACAGAAACAAAATATGATTTAAAAAAGGTCTACCATGGAAGAACTCAGATGTACCTCCAAACTGTGTTCTGTAAAGAACTTCTTCAAAATTATTAGCCCCATAAGTGATATAGGTAGATTGCCTTTAATTTTACGTCAGATTTGGAGCACATTATAAAAATTACACCAAGAGTCTTTACATAACATACAGAGGTTTCCACATTCTTCTTTCAGAATAGGTGTAATCTGTATTTGGAGAATAAAGTCTAGTCTAGACGTAATGTGTGCAATTGAAAACATACAAATACAAATATTTAAGGAAGAACAACCATATTAATCTTTCTATATTAGTGTGACAAATGGTGGATGCTCCTGTGGTTACAGAGATCTACTCTCCAAATTTCTCATTGCTTTGTCCTATTCTTCTAACAAAACTACAGTATTACGAGCAATTTTGCCTCAGAGATGCAGAGTCAAGGTCAGAAAGGCAGAAATTTGGGATTTTAGTTGCTAAAAGCCTAAAGCAAGAGAAGCAAAATGTTAACTACAAAAAACCCCACAAACTAACTACTGCTGACAGCCAGCAGTTTAACTTTCAAGATGTATGGAGAATAAATTAGCTGAAGCTGCTCATTGAATCTGAGCAGGTGGTCTCATCTTCACAGGGCTGGTCCAAGAAACAGCTGCTTTTAGCATATGATAAGAGGTACAAAGCTTACTCTTGGAGGAACTCTGAACAGAAACCATGCAGTAAGAAGACAAGGGCCCAAAGTAGAAAATAATCCCCTATCATGGCATTGCTGAATAGAGCTAAATGTCATTGCTAAGCCAAGACACATTCCTTCTACGGAATCCACCACTGGTTTAAAACATTTCAAAATTCTGCAAAGACAGATGAAAAGAGAGAAAGTTTCATCCACTTCCTGAGAAGGATCTTTTTTTAGCCACGCATAAAGGCGAATCGCAGGCTGTTCTCACAGCAGCTCCCACTTAAATCTCCAATTTGCTAGCGAGACCCAAGAGGAAGCGGCCGCTTGCCCGGGCCCGGACGCCTCACAGGCGTCTGCTTTAACCCTCGCAGACCCAATTCCTTCTGGCTTTGAATATTTTCTCAGGCCACCACAGGGCATTCACACAGCGCTGCTGCACAACTGCCCCCTGTTCCTCACTGGAGCGGTATCCACAGCTGAGWGAACAGATACCTGGACGCGGCAGCTCACACATTAGGCGCTCCTCTCTCCGACTGGGATGCTCAAGTCCTTGGTGTGTCCAGGGTGCACTGTGACCCAGCAAGTGCTCGGAGCCAGGCACCCTGCTTGAGTTCTGGACCCAAATTTACACCCTGTAATGGTGACAGTGCTGTGGCTGTCCCATAAGCACGACGGCACAGACAGTCCAGCAAAGTCGATCTTTGCTCCTCTTAACAGTCAGGATGTTCTGCAAGGTGATAGGAGACATTTTCTCTGTTAGATGGCCAACCCTGCAGCACCACATGCATGGGAGGAATCAAGAGAGCAGTTTGCTCTTTCCAGATGCTTCATGTGAAGCGGATAACTTCTAGGAAGGAGTTTTTCTGGAGCAACCCCTCTCTGGAAAACAAAACCCTGTGGGTAACGTGCAATGTCCTCCTAGGAGATGGTCTGGCACCTGGCACTGGAACTTTGCTCCCAAGTTCCAATAATCTTGACCTTCTTGTCCTAATGGAAGCACACCCTCAGCTGGGCTTGCCCTCCCAGTGAGTCATTTGCCCAGGACTAAAGTCCTGCTGGGCAGCATGGTTCTGGATGGCCAGGGAGTGTACATGTTTGATGTAAAAAGGAGAGACCTGCTCTATCCTTTTAGATAAAGGAAAATACAGAACTTAGCAAAGAACTTAACTATGCAAGACCCAAAGAAACCATTTTTCCACGTTTTATTTCCTCCTTTCCCCGTTAGGAATAGTGTTGTCGATAGCTGCTAAACAGATTCTTCCTTTTCATCAGCAGCTTCATTTCTGGCTATCTTGAACACATAAGAGGATAATYACTTTAGTGCTGCTCTGTTCGCTTTCTTATGACTCATGCACAGCTGTATGAGCAGCATTTCATCTTAATGGTTTCTGAAGACGTGTGGCAAAAAAAAAAAAAAAAAAGAAAAAAGAGTGCCAATTCATCATTTTATTCTAGAGCTTGCATTAACTGAAATCCATTGCAAGGATAAAGCTGCTGAGAAACCTCTGCTCAACTGCTATTTGGCTACATAGTCTGCAACCAGCTGCAAATCAGACACTGTTTACCTGGGAAACAGTGGAGAAGTGAAAAGGCTCGTTTTGCAAGAAAGGATTTTTTTTTTTAAATAATAATTTTAAAATATTAAAAATCTTTTAAAAAAATTCTACATGGGTAGTTTTGTAATAAAAATTCAGATTCTCAGACATACTTACACAATTCATCTCATAGTTTAGCTCACAAATCCGACAGAGCGGAGCAGCTCTGCCATTCCACASACTTGTCTACAGAACTCTCAAAGTATCCTGAACAAAATTATTTGCTATTTTTCACTTCAGCATCCCTTTCTTACACTKCCAGAAGGAGAATAAAATTTATGACTACCATAACTGTACATTAAGAGTCAGAAATGGTAGCACAAGTCTTAAAAAAATCCCATAACAAAGACTGTTGGCTCAGAAAAGTAATTTTGTTCATTCTGAGCAACAAAGGCTCAGACTCATTTAATAAATCTTTCAATATGAAAATCCGGGAGATACAACAAGAGGAAAGTCCTAGACTTAAAAAGTTCATCTAATACCAGCTAATATGAGAATTCTTGAACATTTGACAGTAATTTAATTAATATCTGTAAATATTTGCTGCTAACTGCCTTATAATGTTTGTTCAAGCTAACGCAAGAGCAGGATCACAGGCAAAATAAACTTTCTTTTTCCTCTCCAGATTAGCTTAGCCAACAGGACGGTAATTAGATCTGAGTCAGCTTCTCAGAGGGCCCACATCATCTGTGTTGGATGGAAAGTTTTCCCAGCAGGAGCAGTACCTTACAGAGGTGCTCAAAGAGGGTTATTTTTATAAGTTTTTAAGGTGGTCAGTCAGCAATTTCCTGTACTACTGGAAATTACTAGTAAGAAAATAATACAGTTTTCTAAGGTGACAGAAACTAGAAGCAAAAGACAATTTCATGTACAGTCTGCCAAATATTCTGACTAGTTTGGCAAAGCTTTACTTGGGCTTTGAGAAAAGCCCATCACCACACGTATATATCGCTGGCAATGCTAACCAGCAAGTCCTACAAAAATGCATCACATAAACATTAGCACTCAGCACTAGAAATAACAAACCTGCAATTACTGACGTGCAGCAAAGCCAGCTTCACATCTAGCTGCTTTCTACCCTGCGATCACATCCCTGTTGAAAAAGTTGGTATCTTAGTCTCAGCTCAGTTAAAGGAAACTCAGTCCTCAAAATACGCAGAGCCACATGAGATGACCAGATCTTTCTATACATGTAAYAGACTCTTCCAATACCCTTCTGCATGTAACTGTACACAAAGCAACTAGACATGAACTAGCCTCTTAAAAATATATACATACAGCAATCAAATGCCAAATTCTACTGCTGTATTTACAAGTAATGCTTATATTATGGGCACTGAAAAGAAAGAAAACAAAATGTTTTAGTTCATCTATGATTGTGCAGAAAATCATAACTAAGACTTAGAATGTTCTTTACATTTTGATACCTGGGGAAGAAGTATCCCACATTTTTATCTAAGTCTGTTAAGACTGAAGCATTCAGGTTTGACTGTGGAGATGCCTTCCTTAATGTGAGCAATTTTCAAGCTCTCCCTTCACATCTGCAGTAGATGTGTCCATATTCCAAGAGAGGAATGAGAGTGGGAGGGATGTCACAACTAAAATACAACACACCAGACATGTCACTGCAGATAGGGAACACTGCAGGAATAATGCAGATCTCTCAGTGTCTTGGGCCAGACAAAGCAGTAGGAAGATGATGCTCCAAAATGAAGGTGTTTTTAATGAAGAATTTTTGAAGTTAGAGGTGACCTTTACATCATCCTAATACAGAAAGTCCCTGCCAGCACCTGTGACACAAGGCATAGCTCRAGGCCACACTCCAAACCTCCTTCTTACACATCCAAAATACAGCAGAGCTAGCCATTATTACAAACTTTTTCAATTTTGATAAAAGGAAAAGGAGACTAATGTGGAAGTCTGTCTTCARAAAGGAATGTGTCTCCCACACTTTGACTACCAGCACCTTGTGAGCCTGTTATAGCAGTATGTGCTCGCACGCCTGGTGCCTGCTCGCCGACACCTCTTGTGCACTGACAGAAGACTTGGGCAGTATAAGAATCACTTGGCAATACAAATTTGATCACTGAACTAGCCAAAGCACCAAACACAGCATTTACCTCAACTTTATGCTGATATTCCAGTTGTGTGGAAACAGAGGGTACATAATTCAGCATAAAGTTAGAGTGGCGTGGGGAGAAAGTACTTGATATGACAAACTTAAACTGCTGTCATTTTTTTAAGCAAAATCAGACTTACAGAGAAAGTTCATGCTGAATCAGTACTTCATCCCACACGGTTGTGGCATTTTTCACCAGGAACCTGAAAGCTGAATTTATCACACTGCAGAACCACAGCCTTGTGCAAGTTCAAGGCCTGCAGAGTCTTCTTCAGGCTAGATCCAGGGMTTTCACAGCCACTTTAAACTGCCACAGCAGATGGGAAAAATCACATCTCATCTCTCAAAGTGAAAGAAGCCCTTTAAAAAGCTACTGACAAGGCCCTTCTGTAACTCAACCAAAGTTACTATTGCTACCATCATTTTTAAAATATCATTTTTATCATTTGCTGGATGCTACTTACATTTCGATCAGACAGTGAAAGACAAGAGTGCACCACGTTACTGACTTGTGCACAACACAGTAACACCAGGCAGATTTCCATAATAAACATATTCCCACAGATCCAGCATATGAGAAATAATTCATTTTTCATTTTGGATGACCAACGAAAAACCTTCCCAGGATGACAATTTCCAATGGCATATCCTTCAGGACTTATGACATATAGTTTTTGAATGAAGTTATCAAAAACACATTGGAAAACTGTGAATAACAAAATAACTTGACTGCTGAGACCCCTTTTCTCTCCCAGACACAGAATAAGAGGCAGATGAGGCTGCAGTAGTACTTCTACCTCCAGGCACAGACAACTGCTCCACAACTGTTGCTCCCTCCACCCCTCTACTTTCTTACTTTTATAGTTCCAGTGGATGCTGGTGACTTGGATCTCCTGAGTTGGAATATACTCCTCAATAAATTTCTTCCCCTGCAGTCGGTGCCAGAGCGTGGTTTTTCCAGTATTCCTGTCCCCTCGGATAACAATTTTCACTGAGAAAAAGAGAACGAAGATAAATAAAAATGATTAAAACAAAGCTACAAGAGTTTGGAAAAGCACATTAACATTTTGCAAGCGTTATTTAGACGCAATTAATTCTCTTGCATTACAAGGCATGATGGTTTGCTAAAACAAACAAACAAAAAACCAAAATCAAGCAGCGTAATTGTTAAAATTACCATTCATTCAGCTACTCAAACCAGCTCAGCAGAAAGAACCCAAGTCAAGACTGAGCCATCAGGATCCTGCACAGCTTAGCCAGCAAAGTGTCTGCCCTTATCCGCTCGCTTCTCTTCCTCTTGCCTTCTCTCATCTTCACCTAACCCTTACTCTGACTTTGTCAAACCCCATCCCTTCACAAGGCTCCAATATCAGGCTTCTCCTTCAATTATCTCCTCTGTCACCCATATTTCTCCTTAAAYGCTATTCTTTCCTAGAGGAAGCATTTTTCCTAGAGTCTGTTGCTTGATGTCACTCAAAGGACATCAACTGGATGTCAGCTGACTGGTCCTGGACCTCAAGGACCTCAACGGGACCTCAAGGAACTGGTCCTCAAGGACCAGTTCTTAGCTGACCTGAACTAGACAGGGCATTCAGCTTCTGCTGAGTGTAACTGCAGGGTTCAGCTGTCACCACTTGTAACTTCCCCAGCTTTGCTTTAGCTGGGACAACATGCTGCTTTCCAGGGGAAGCAGGAGACCACCACGTACTGCCCTCCAGCTGCTCCGGACCACAGCTCAGGCAAAGAGGCAATCCTTGAGGAACACTCTCTGCCAAAGGGACAAGGTGAGTAACTGATGGCCCAGTCCCATTCAAATTGAACCAGCTGCTTGGGCCCCTTAGCTGAAGTACGATGATGTTCACAAGCTTGTTCACTCGCCTCTATAGCCACAACAAGAAAAGCGAGTCAGTGGAGAAATACATCCAAGGAAAGGAAGTGTCCTGAATAACTTGTTGAGGCGGAAGCAAGCAATCCACACAGTACCAGCTGCACTACTGTCACAAAGYGCACTCAACCAAGGAAAGCAATTTCTGTAGCAACCAGTACCACGGACTTTCTAGAGTCTACCTAATACCACCTTGTTCTTTTTGAAAGAGTAGGTAYTGTTTTCTAAGTTTTCTGCTATATTACATATGTGTGTGCATACACCCCCCTATCTTTAAGCTGGGATAACAAAGCTATTGGCGGTTCTGTGTAGCTAACCTGCACAGAAACAGAAATTTTACACTTGCATTTGACACACAGGAGTCATTCCCCTACAACAGGCTGCACCGACATCCRCATCAGGTTCAAGTCATGAGCACTAGATTGGGCATCACCACTTTGGCCCAAAGGTCTCAGACTCAAGCTCATCTGTTGCAACTCCAGAGCTGTTACAGGCATCTCCAAAATGAAGCAAGACAAGCAGCAGAATCACATCACTTCAGGAGAAGTTTGTTAGCAGCAAGAGTGTCTGACACAACATGTAAGAAGTTATATGGCAGAGTTCCRTCTGCTGCAATTTTGTGTTGCAGTACTGCTTTGCTCTTGTTGCTGTTCTGCTCTCATGCACTAAGATCTATTGTTATTTATTGTTTTATTTATCTTTTAATAGCAAAGAAATAATCAAGGCAAAAAATCAGCAAAATATTTATATGCTGACTTCATTTACAGGGACTAGAACATTTCTGCAGACAGCAAAGCATCTACATTTCCTATTGTGCCTTGTGGAATACCAAACACTTCCTTGGACTTTTCTTAATGGATCACGTCAACAGCATAGTTAGAATAAGAACCTACTTATTCCCCTTAAAACACTCTCACTTTTGTGAGTGCCTTTGAAACACTCTCATATTACTTACCTTAAAAAGACATTTTAAAATTCACACTTACCCCTACATTACATGGAGTGACATTAGCTACTAAGTGGAGTAGCTACTAATACAGGGAAATCCATAAGCAAGCAGGCTCTTCAGCATTGACCCTGTCTGTTTTTTCTCGAGGTGCAGCTTCAGGTCACTTCCAGATGAGCCATCTCCAGAAGAGGCAAATCTTACACACATGCTACTAGCTGTGCAGCAACACGTGGAGTTGATCAGGGCATTGAACTGGCTGAAGACTAAACCCTAAATGCCTTTTCCACACTTATTTTCCCACCATAGCTCAGGGTGGAGCTGCAGCAGCAGTAACAGGAGGGCATTAGCACAGCGTGGCACGCCAGGACAGGGGAACCACCCAGCCCTGCAAGCCGCTCACATTTAGATCAACACAAACTCAGTTTGAACATATCAAACCGCCCTTTTCACCTTTCTCATATTTTTCATAATTCTCATGTTAGGATGTCTTTCCGTCTACACAGGGTGATAGTTTTCACCGCTTTTTTGCCAAAGAGAGAAAAGGCCTTTAAAAATMAAAGAAGAACATAGGTCATATAAATCATTTGTAGCAAGATTAAAAAAAAAAATGTATTTGAGACTTTAGCTTGAGCAGGTCTACCCAAGGATGGGCACTCATAAGAGACTAAAATCTGGGTGAGCTTCAGAGCAGAGCAGGCAAAACGCCTGATGTTCATCRTGTTCTTCCTACTGACGTTTATCATGGTGACAAGATCCTGCGCTCCACGACAGGCTCTGCTTTGCGACGYGCTCTCCAGACAGCGCCTGACGACAACAGCCCAGCAGGCGAAAGCAGACCATGAACTGGGGCACACAGCAGCTAGACCTCAACCTCCAGCAGCTCCGCGTCTTTCGTTCCTACCGCTTATTGYCAACAGGTAGCTCTCAGGAAATGCTCCCACTGGCATAACCCAGACAAAATGGTTTATTTCCCTCTTCTTAGGTGATCATTCCTTCACACGATCGCCACGTTTGAGTGACCTGCTGCTTCTGGAACCTGTTGAGACACTTTAAACAAACACTGCTGCCAAAAGAACGAGATCTACCTGCCCTTCTCTGCCCATTCCCACTTGCTCGGGCCTGTGCAACCCTCTTGGGGCCAGCACGGCTACGTGACGGCTGGTGCAGCCAGTCTCACCTGGGGCCAGGCTACCCCTCCAACCAGGAGAGAAGCAGTGAGCTTTAACAGGTCTGTTCCCTCTACCAGGAACAAAAACATTTCAATCACCACAAACGTGACACAGACCATTTTTATTCCCTGTGCTTGCTATATKACTCAGGCAGCTGTGTTCTGTGGGTACCTATGACAGAAGATCTGCATGCGCATGACAGAGCAAACGCAGAGCGCGTGTTGGGAATGCAGGACAAAAACTCTTTCTGCTTTGACGTCCGGTGCTAAAGAAGTGGCTGCTGCCAAGGGCTATTACTGACCTTAGCTCCCATGAGAAATCTAAGCATACTCACCCTGCTCAAGTTTTCCTTCTGAAAGGCAAGGCAGCCCATCAATACAAAACATTTTGGTTCAATTTCATTAGAGAAAACTACCCACCACTTACACAACTTGCTGTCACTAAGGCAGCGCCCAGTCTTTGTTATCACCTCAAATAGGAGTTTGTTTTGTTAGGAAACACACTTGGAAGCTGTGCAGGCCAGCACAGCATAGCAAGCAACCCAAGGCAATCTCCAAGCATTTCTGGTAAGCAAAACTGCTTCAATTTATGACCAGTAAAGGAAACCTATGCGACTGCAGGGGAAAAAAAAAAAAAAAACTTTCAAAGATAAGTGTATTAAAGATGACTACAAAATGCATTTTACGTGACATTCAACAGGGGAGTGTATTTGCTAAAAAAGATGCACTGACAGTAACAAAGGATTTGCAGCTCTGCCTTCCCCTTAGCAATCACCCTTGTATATGATGTTTCCTCACAGCCTACATCCAATTGAGGCTATAACCTCAAAACACTGGAATCCATATCAACATATCAACAGCCATAGCTGTGGAGGGCCCTTCAAWCCCCTCCCAAGGCTGCCTGTACCTCCTATAAATATGGTACAATAGCGGCACAGGGAAGAGTTACTATGGAGATTGGAAAGCTTCCTTCAAGGAGGTGACAGAAAGCTGCAGTTTTATTGTAGATATAAAAGCAATAATTAGAACACAAATCCTGTCAAAGACAAGGCAAGAGACAAAAAGCTTTCCTGAGGCTTTCAGTAATGAGATAGAAAGCAACCAGGCAGTGTTTGCAGCTTCGCTGCTTGCAGTTTTGGCCCTGCTGCATTAATAAGCAGGTATCATACACACAGGTTAGTCAACCATGCGGGTGGCCAACACACAGCAAAGAGCTCCCCCTTCCACTCCTGTGCCAGCAAGATGCAGCTGATCTTAYTGTGTGTAGCACAAACATTCGCCACCACAACAAACTGTCAAATCATAAAAGGAGCTGACATGAGCTACCTGATCTTACGCATTTAGCAGTGAAGCACGTGAACGTGTCCTGGTTTGCAGTCTCCACAAGGTCTCCACAGAGATCAACAGTCTTTTGCCGGCACATTTCCAGGTTGACAATGCAGTGCTGTATGCCAGGCTTTAACACGTTCACTCTCACCCTTCGTCTTCCATTAGGAATCTAGTCCCTTAACAGTATCACTGTGTTGCTGTTCATATTCCTAACTGCCTACTAAGATGCTACTTTCTAAATTAAGCTCTATTCTTAGCATTTTAACAGATGCAATCTGGATAAATGCACCAAATGTTCTCCCTACTAGAGCACAGAGCTTCAGAAAGTTCCAAAGCAGTCCATCATGACACTAAACATCCTTATCCAAGCTCTGAAGTGTTAAATTCTCCCTTCCAGTAGAGTTTCAGATTACGATAGCGCATAATCTCTATTCCCCAACTTGTGTGCCTTTAGAGAAACTACTCTGTGGAGCATTTACAAATCACTCTTATTACAAGCTGCTGATCTCAGTCTGCTGCAGTCCCCCCTCCCTGCCTGCACAGTCCCATGCAGACAAGCTGATACTCATGGGCTCTGTGTTAGCAAGCCGATTTTCAGAGAGAATGACATAAACACCATCCCCTATAAAACAATTGTTGCCGTGAGATGTATTTCATCTGCCTGCAGCACCTTCCTGAGACACTGTATTAGAAATAACCTTTACTGAACTTCAGGGGAAAAAAAGATGCAGCCTTGAACCTTAATACAGAAAGGAGAGTAATTCCAAAAGTGTTCTTAAAAAAAAAAAAAAAAAAAGGCAAACGTATCAGTTTAGAAGCACATAATCATGATGAAATTACCCGCCGAGGTAGTTTATAGGGCACGCATCGCTCGCACTTATGAAAGGTGAGCACTGCAGAGTTTCTCCCAAGTCCCTTCTCACGCACCCACTAGCACTCGGCTGTGAGCACCACGGCCCGGGGCAGAGCACCACGGGGCAGAGCAGGGGTCTCCCCTCGCCCCCCGCCGGGAGGGACCTTCCTGGCGCTGCCGGGGGCTAAAGCCGAGGGGCAGGCGGTGCGGCCCGCGGGGGCCCGGCCGCAGGGCCTCTCCCGCGCGGCTGCACGGCGGTCTCGCCGGCCCGGCACCGAGAAAGGAGGCCCCGGAGCCGGCCGTGCCCCGCTCCCGACRGGGCCGCGCTTCGCCCCGCGGCTCCCGGCCAGGCCGAGCCGCAGCGGCCGGGACCAGGCCGCAGGCGGGACCCTGGCGGGCCTCGCTGCGCTCGCGGCGCCGGCTCCGACTCACTGTTATACTGCACTCCCTTGGCGAAGCGCCGCTGCAGCGCCTGGTTCATGGACTGCAGCCCCGCGGGGATGTTCTTGTCTCTGACCGCAGCCTGCTCCGAGCCCACCAGCTTCTTCAGCGCCGAGAACATCTTCCCGCTCCGCCGCCTCGGCCGGCACGGGCGCTCCGCGCAGCTCCGGGC